ACAAGACAGAAATTACCTGTTTTACATTTTAATCCTTATTATAAGGATATTTTCTGTCCCCTTTTGTCATTATAATTTTAAAATCTTTTACATGTGGACTGGCAATGCCATGATTATCCAAATATTTCTAATCATATTCCTCCTATTCAGCATCCCTGGGTAGTGAGTGAACTTGAACAAGAATTCTACCCAAAAAGTTCAAGGTCAACAGACCTAAGTGTTATTTCCTTAATTAAACAGAGTACAGTATTTACACGTCAGTTTCCATTGCCTTCACCCAAAAATCCTTTGGCAATACGCACTGACCAGGAAAATTTCATCAAAACACTGTGTAGATTCATTTTTATATAATATATAACATATCATATGGTACATTTATTTCACTTGATTTTCATTAAGAGTGGCACAATAACTACAGTACTGATCAGATACGGATCCAGTACAATTCTCAGGAGGACATACTTGCCAACCCCCAACATGTAAAAATCTGGTCCTGACCAGATTTGGAAAGTAAAAAATCTGGTCATAACGTGCAATGACATTCACGACATGTCATAAAAAATAATCAGGTTAAGGGTCGAAAAATCGAGTGTAACCCGACGAAATCGGGCGAGTTGGCAAATATGCAGGAGGATTCAAGTAATTTGAAACTCAAATTGTTTCTCATCTATTTATTATAACAATTTTTGGCTGTCACAAAAAAGAAAAGAAAGTGCTCTGGTTGACAAAATTGTATAAATATTAAGTATTCTAACAAACTAAATTTCAGTGACATGATTTAATATGGTAACTCTGGAAGAAAACAAGAGGCCCATAGATCACAATACTCTTCTTGTCTGAAATATATTGCATTTTCTTTTTTTCATCCAGATGAATGGATAAACCAGTTGTCCAAGTTAATGGTCTATATATTATCTATAAGCATGCTATTCTAGAACAAAATCTCTGTGGCACAAGTTTAGAGATGAATAAACTACTAGTATCTATACAGACCAAGAACAGGGAAGATAAATAAAATCTGTTCTGCTCACCTTTTTCCAACAAATAATATTTTGATAGAAGCAAGGGGCAAAGAATTTGTAAACCAGGTGCAAATTTAATGTGTCATGAATTCCAAAATGAATCTTCCCTACATGGGCCTTTGTAAATTGTAAAATTGTAAATCTGTTGTTTTCAAAAATTTCTATTTTTCTCAGTTGCATAATTCTATGTGGCAAACCTTAATTGGAAACAAAACTTCAACAAATTTGAATTTCACACAAGTTTGTCTAATCCATGATTTTTCAAAGGCTTCAACCCATTTTATTTTCTATTTATTTATATCTCCCCTTGGCTTGCTTTAAGTCTGCATAATCTGCCCAGTGGGTCGTGAGAGGAAGATTTTGTTTTTATTTCCCTAATTATCTCCTCTTGTCTAGGGGTCAAAACCCTATTCTTAGTATAAATGAAAGCCCTTGGGCCATGGATACCCTGTGACAAAAATAGACCAAGGAGTTCTTGAGATATGGCCCATATTCCAAAAAGTTTATGCACACCTCATAAATGGCCTTTGAGCCTTTGGCTCAGAAGAGCTATAAAACTAGTTTAATCTTCATGCAAATTTTTTTTTATGCACAACTCTTAGATTTGTAAGGATTATCCAACGTAAATTTTTTTTTAATATTTGTGATTTTTTTGTTGTTGTTTAAGTTTTAATGACCTTGTTTTCAGCTGCAATTCACATTTTTCTACAGATGTACCAACTGGCAGTTTCTCGATTCTTTGTCTAAAATCTACATTAAACCAAAATGACTAAGTCAATAAACAAGAGGTCCAAGGGCTTAACGGTCATCTGAGTATAATGCAACAATTTAGAGGATCCATAGAGTATAAAATGAACTGAAAGGTGAAGCTTTGTTGCCCAAAAGCAAGAAAAATGGGGTGATCAGGATCAACAAAATAATTAGTCTAGTGTTCATTAACAGTTCATAAATTAGGTTCTGATCTGTTCCCCATTTATCACTAACACCATACAGTATATTAACAAACTAACAGTGCTTCTGTACTGTTTTAATTCTTTGTTGAAGTCTCTTACATTGAACTCTCTTGGTCTTTGATGAGCATTGAATATGACAAGATATTTTTGTCTCATTTTTATTTATCTATTACTTACAAGTCTACCTGATCATAAAAACTATGAAAGTACTTTTTGTATTATACGATAAAAAATCTTGCATAATTCTCTTATTCTATTAACCTTTCAAGTACATTATTTACAGTGACTAATTATCAAAAGTAAAAGGCAAAGGGGAATAACTCCTCTCAGTAGAATACAAATTAATTGAGCCCTGGCCAGTACAAGAACACTTGACAAAATGGTCCAGATGTTCAAAAATCTATATTAAATCTTTTACTCTTTTTGCCTCTGATATGCTCAGGTTCAGAGAAGATTTTTCAAAGAAATAATGCATTTTTTTACTACAGATTCACTATATTATCAATAGAGCCCCCCCTTCCCACCGAGAAACACCAGAGCCTCTCACCCTGGGACCAGAAGTTTGCTCATCATACATGTAAGTAATCACTTTGTTTATCTGATTAACACTAAGGAGCAGACAGGATTATTTAACAGAATTAATACATTTTCACTATATAATCAATAGAGCCCCGCCCTAACATCAGAACCCCTGACCCTGGGGCCATGAAATTCACAATTTTAGAAGAGGCACTCTTGCTCATTATAACTATGTACTTACTTAGTTTATTAAATACCCAGGAATAGAGAAGATTTTCAAAGAATTAATGCATTTTTACAATATAATCAATAGAGCCCCCCCCTTTTTTTTTCATCAGAACCCTTGACCCTGGGCCCATGAAAATTACAATTTTGGAAGAGGCAATCTTCCGTATCATAACAATGTACTTAGTTTGTTTAAATAATACTCAGGGGCAGAGAAGAAGATTTTCAAAGAATTAATGCATTTTCACTATATAATCAATAGAGCCCCATCCTATCACCAGAACCCCTGACCCTGGGGCCATCAATTTCACAATTTTGGAAGAGGAACTCTTGCTCATCATAACGATATACTTGGTTAGTTTATTTAATACACAGGAACAGAGAAGAAGATTTTTCAAAGAATTAATGCACTTTCACTATATGATCTACATGTATATAGCCCCACCCTAGCACCAGAACCCCTGACCCTGGGGCCATGAATTTCACAATTTTGGTAGAGGGCTCAATGCTTATTACAATCATGCCAACAGTTTGACTGCTTGATGTCCAGGAGTAAAGAAGAAGATTTTTAAAGATTGCATTAATTTTGGTGGATTTAGCCCCACCCCTCAGGCCCCAGGGGGGCAGGAACCATGAAATTCAAAATTTTTGTTCCCCTTCACTCATAGATGCTTTATGCCAAATTTGGTTGAAATTGGTTAAGCGGTTTAAGAGAAGAAGCTAAAAATGTTCAAAAGTTAACAGATAGCAATAGGTCACCTGAGTGACTCAGGTGACCTAAAAAAGAAAAAAAAAAGCTGTAAAATGTAGAAAAATTATCCAATCCTGATGAAAATCTAGGTGTACATCTTTATATGGTGAATAATGAGTGTACAAATTTTCAGACAAATCCATACAATAGTCTCCAAGAATAGGTCCAGACAAATGTCATCAGATAGACTGACATGCTGATTCTAATATACCCCCACCCCTAAACTTTTTTGGTCTTGATTTTTTAAAATTCAATATCAATTTCTGTCAAATAAGGAACAAGTGCAATCTGTACACAGAAACTATCTACTCAAGATGCATCCAGTACATTCTGTACAAAGAAACTGTCTACTCCAGATGTATCAAGTACATTCTGCGCACAGAAACCGTCTACTCAAGATGTATCCAGTTCAATCTGTACACAGAAACTGTCTACTAAAGATGTATCTAGTACATTCTGTACACAAAAACTGTCTATTCAAGAGGTATCCAGTACATTCTGTACACAGACGTTGTCTACTTAAGATGTATCCACTAACTTGCAGAAAAGAAATGTAAAAGTAATACATCAATATTATGGTCTTTCCATTCCTCAAATATTATGGTAAAACTTACATTGTATACATAAAACTTGAATTTAATAGCCAAAACTAGTGTGAACTATTGGCCTCAAGTACTAGTAATCAATGGCAAAGCCTTAGTTCAAACAGCTGCTGGTTTATCATAATGAATGGAATAACAGAACAAGGACACGATAATGTAACAAAAATAAACATTGAGCTACTACAACATCTGGCTTTGTCATCTCTTAAACATACCAGAAATGCAAAACACCTGGCTTTCAATATATTTCCCTGAAACAAATACACTAAAAACATTTAATAAAATTTATGATATGCTTTTCTACTTTGTACATGTAATATACATCCATTCCTCTAAAGCTGTCCATGCTTCTCTCTAAAGGTTTTCAATCTTGCTGCATCATTTTGTTATGATCTTCAATTTGACATCACTAAATCAATCAATGAAAGAAAACCCCAGATATTCCCCTATTCCTCTGTAGTCAGTGATTGGTAAAACCCTGTAAGCTTTCCTCAGTATCACTCATCACTCTGATGAACATAGCGGGAATCTTTAAACAACTCCTCTCTTCTCTCCATCAGATAACTGAAACATTTACAAGCTGATATCAATAACCATAATTCATAGTAAAATATTCACATGTAACAATATCTCTCATTCTCTGTGTTTGTTTGTGTAGTACATTAAAGGCAGTATTAAGCATAGATTTGTGTAATATTGTATCTATTGAGAAATGTTGTACCCAAATGAATATTAAATCAATGTCTAAAAAGTACTGATCGTCACACTTCATTCCTTACTGTCAGCATTACTTATGAAAATACTAAGATAAAGCCATCTTTAAAATATTCACTTTTTCCTTGTTCTTTACATTCTGAATGTTCATTTTAGACTAATTTTTAGCACCTATAAGACATCTGACATTCCCTACACTACATACAGACAATACATACTCCAGGAAACAGTGAAGGAGGGAGAGCAGAGCTTTGACTTTGTGGTCCTCCATACTCATACTGGTGATCAAGTCTGGGAGTTTTACTGTAAACAAACACCATAAATTGTACATGAATGTATATAAAAACAATTAACTCAAAAAGGAATTTTAGTCTTTCATGTATTACAAAGTAGTTCTTAAGAATTATTTTTGGATTTGTGATTTAAAAAAACCCGCATATTTATCTCCATCTATTCTATTTATATATTCATACCCCCTTTTGCCTCAATCCTAGCCAAAAACTATTCAGAAGTTTATAAGTAGTGAGAAACATTGAATACAGATTAACTCAGGTGACCTAAAAAACAGTATACATATCAATAAACCATAAACATTACCAAAGAGTCGCAGGAGATGATGTGCCCCATACAGAAGGGAGGGTGCAGTGGGGTTAGCCTGTAATTTCTCCGGGGGCAGGAGCTGCCAGGACAAAATTCTGTCCAGAATGTCTTCCTTACAAGATTCTGAGGAAGTAGCACTGCTTGCCTTGCTGCCCTGACTGGCATTGTCTGATGGCTTCTGATTGGTGACTGTGTTTGGGACCAGGAGGGGCGGAGGTGCGTCCTCATGTTCACGAGAAGAATGAGCCTCTGCTCCTGAGTCTGGGGGCTCAGTTTTCACTGTTGTTGTGGAACACAATGGGTGACTTGAGCTGAACCTACGACTTCTACGAGTCTCCTTCTTTCGAGTGCCTTCTGCTTTTTGTTCTTCTTTGTCAGCCTCTTCTGATCCTGTAGAGTGTTCATACTGTTGTTTTGAGTCTGTGATTTTTCTAGCATTTTCTATTACTGACTGTCTAGTTAATCTTCTAGGAGCCAACTCTTCCTGCTCTGACATTTCAAATTCTATCTTGTCTTTGAAAATTTCAGGGGATAGCTTTGGAATCTTTGGAGATACATTTCCATTGGAGGAAGATGACTGATTTGTTCTTAAATTGTGTTTTCGCTTTACTGGAGACTTTTTGGGGGGAGGTGAGTTTGTTGTGGGACTGGAATAAAAAGAATCCATGCACTGATTGAAAAATTCAAATACATGTATTACCTTCATAACGAAGAATTCAGAAGTGACTTGATATTAAGGGCATATGAAAATATTTATACATATATTTTTATCATTTTTATTTCTATTTTTTTTAACCTTTTTTTTTTTTTTATAGAAAATAAAGACTTAACAAGATGCACATGGGCCACATCGCTCACCTGAGCACATTGGCTAGGCAAAAGCACAAATCAGTTCCGTATTGAAAAGAATACCGGGTGGGGGGGGGGGGGGGGGGGGGGCCTTGGATTTTAAACTACCTGATGATGCTTCCATGTCAAAATAACAAATGGCTTTGTTGTTCTTGAGAAGATTTTTTTAAAAAATTTCCATATATTCCTTTGTAAAACTTTGATCCCTCATTGTGGCTCCTCCCTATCCCAGGGGTCATCATTTGAACAAACTTGAATCTACACTACCTGAGGATGCTTCCATATCAATATGACTAAACATAGCTTTTCTGTTCTTGAGAAGAAATATTTTTTCTATATGTTCTTATGTAAAACTTTCGATCCCCTATTGGGCCCCACCCTACCCCAGGGGGTCATCATTTGAACAAAATTGAATTAACACTACCTGAGGATGCTTCCATATCAAAATGACTAATCATGGCTTTGTAGTTCTTCATCAGAAGAAATCTTCCTATATATTTCTATTTCAGACTTTGATCCTTCATTGTGGCCCCGCCCTATCAGGGGATCAACATTTGAACAAACTTGAATCTACACAACCTGAGGATGCTTCCATATAAATATGACCAATTAGGGCTTTGCTGTTATTGAGAAGAAGATTTTTCAAGATTTTTCCTATATATTTCTATGTAAAAATTTTGATCCTTCATTGTGGCCCCGCCCTACCCCCAGGGGTCATGATTTGAACAAACTTGAATCTACACTACCTGAGGATGCTTCCATATAAATATGACTCATCATGGCTTTGCTGTTCCTGAGAAGAGGATTTTTAAAGGTTTTTCCAATATATTTCTATGTAAAACTTTGATCCTCCATTGTGGCCTCGCCCTACCCCTGGGGGTCATGATTTGAACAAACTTGAATCTACACTACCTGAGGATGCTTCCACATGAGTTTCATCTTCCCTGGCTTTGTGGTTCTTGAGAAGAAGATTTTTAAAAGATGCTATTAATTTTTCAGTAATTCTTTATTATCTCCCCTTGAAAGAGGGCGTGGCCCTTCATTTGAACAAACTTGAATCCCTTCACCCAAGGATACTTTGTGGCAAGTTTGGTTGAAATTGGCCCAGTGGTTCTTGAGAAGAAGTCGAAAATGTGAAAAGTTTACAGACAGACAGACGGACGGACAGACAGACGGACTACAGACAAAATGTGATCAGAAAAGCTCACTTGAGCCTTCGGCTCAGGTGAGCTAAAAAGTGACAAGGCATTTGAAATGAACAAACCCATTGGTGCTATGGGACTTCTGTTTTTGTGTGGTGATCAGTCTGTCAAGCTGTGTTCTCTCAGATGTGTACAGAAGGACTAGTGGAAGGGTATAATCAAAACAAAGACGAAGTCCATCTACCATCTCCTTACATAGGGGAATACTGCAAAACATGGCATTAAATACTGAAGACTATTGTAACAAGTTATGTAGCTGAATATCATGCAGAGCTATTGAATGATTTAAAACAAATGAAATTCCTCATTCTACCTACCGGTATATTGAATCTTCAATATATACATATAGAAACACAATTTTAGAATTATCCTAGTTTCTAGATTATTTTCTTTCAATGAAAGATTATAAGATACAAATAACTACTGACAACTATTAATAAGAGAACTACAAACAGTACAACACACACCGATTTTAGGTGTCTATAACATCTGTAACAATTTCATTTTAAAGTTTTAAGGGTCATATCTGTATATTTTAAATATATACTGCTTGATGTAGGGAAAAAAACTTTTTAAAAATGGGTTATACCTAGTGAACCAAAAACTTAAATTATATCTATATATATATCAAGGTTCATTGAAAATCTGAACATGATTTCACATTAAAATTTACTACATGTAATAGTAATGCATGTACCATAATATGTCTGTCTTTAGACTGGTAAATGGTACCGAAATATTCAGAAGAATCTACATGTATTTAAAAAGCATTGCCAAATTGTTGCATTTAATGAAGATGATTTCATACTCACACTTTCATGAGTTCAAAGTAAAAAATGCATTTATTTCCACTGAATATAGTTTAAAATTATCAATAATCACCAAAAATGTATAGGTCACCACCTTTTTAATGTGTCAGACAAAGATATATAGAAGTATATGTAAGCAATTAAAAAGCTCTCATTTTTGTGTAACAGTTTAATCAAACAGGGAAACCAATGCTAACTTTAATAGAGAAGGTACAAGGGTAAGAGTTATTGCCCTTTGTACATAAATAAGAATAATTTTTTTTAATTTTTTTTTAAAACAAACTCTTAAATTACACCTGTTTAAAATACTCTTCTAAAAGATATATTTCCTTTGGGTATGAACTTTAATTCATGAAAGATTTTGCAAGAATGTATGACATCACACAAAGGTGAAATTACCTTAAAGTACTATAAAATTCAGTCCTACAGTTTACATGTACTTACTTTCTTTCCACAGGTACAGTAGTTGAACCCTCTTTATTGAGAACACTGCTCTTTGCTGTATTACTGAACAGCACATTCACACAAAAAGATTTGACAAATTCCTCCAATATTGATATGATATTTGGCTGTGCTGGTAAATTTAACACCTTCACCAAAAAAAAAGTTATTCTTAAATTTCTTATAAACATGAAATGAAATACATAACAATGAATTTTAAAAGAATAGTCTTCAGATCTTTTTCATTTCTGTGAATGTTACATTCATTACTTTTCACCCCCCCCCCCCTCCATCCCCCAATTTGCATTGAACAATTTTCTTTGTACAGTGATTTTACTTTATTGTGAGCCCTCTCCAGGATCAAATATTTTTGTATTATAATATTTGTCTTGGACTAAAATTCATCATTTTTTATATTTCAAGTCTTTTATCACAATAAATCAATACCATTTGCTTTGTATATTAAATGAAGAATAAATTCATACCATATCCTGCTTGCATATAGCTATATAGTCCTTTTCCAATTCTTCTTTAAGCAGAGGTGGAAGCTCTATGTCCACATTAACCTTCCTCTGTAGAAGAAATAGACAGCATGACAATCCTGTCGTTAACAAAACACATTTTCAGATTATATGAAATATCAGATCAAAATTTCATCACACACAATATCTGTATGTATGACCTTTTTGTCCTCAGACTTGTTACTATAGTTACTTCCATCATCCTCACTACTGTTGGTACTCTGAATGAAAAGTTTTAATTTCACTGACCATGTTACAAGTACAGTAACAGTTTGTGAGAAAAAGTAATTTTTTAAATATTTTATTAAGACATATTCATTTTAACATTTTGTCTTTAAACATTAAGGACAAAAAAAAAAGCCCAATTCCCTCCTAAGTTGCTGACCTGACAATCAGTTTCAAGGATGGAACCATTCTGTATCTGTTCCATGAACTCAATGCTTTCTTTATCATCTTTCTTTTCCTCCTCATCAGTTTTCTCATTTTCACTCTCTGAGCTGATGATATCATCATCTTCATATGGACTGTCTCCATCATCTTCAAACAAAGGTGGTCTCCCTCGAAAAGCCTTCCTTAGAATTCTGTCAATCCTTCGATTACGTGCACTGTTTATCCGACTACAGTAATGTACAAAATAATATTAATTATGTTGCTTTAATTTTTCAGTATAATAGATTTTTCTACTATTTTTTTTTTTTTACGGAAGTACATTTTAACTTGAAGTTTAATGTGATGTACTGAACATTGGAGATAATATACTTATCAGCAATTGTGAAAGTAAAGTAAAAATTCTTTTGACATAAGGTTAGGTTGTACTACATTGAATAGAGTGGTTTGAACCATTGGCATCAAAGGGAAAAGCATGTGACTTATTGCACCTCTTGATAATGAACTAAACCTTGTATGACAAGCAGTGTAGATAACTCACTACTTTTTGGTGGTGTCAGCTAACTTTTTCATCAACTGTCTGTTTTCTTCTGTATTTTTTAAAACATATGTTTCTGGTACAATTCGATCCCAACTGTAAAATAATAAAAATCTTACCAAGGGAAACACATATGTAAATAAAGGGAATTACAAAAGATTGTTGCCAACAATAGTCACTTGTGTCTACTTTTTATTTCTAAAAAACCATATGAACTTATTTAAATTTAATAAGAATAATTGAATAAAAATTTAACATTTTAAAGTCCTGAACTGCACTAAAAGGAAATCTTTATATGTAATTGTAACATAAAATTAAAAAAAAATCTCAATCCAACCCCCTCGTATTTTGGGCAGAAGTGATAAAAATAACCTGTTATTCCAACCCTGAAAGTGTACATGGTATGCAGGAATCTTGGTGCCAGATAAATCTTTGGTGGAAGTCGTGTCTAAAATCTGCAAAATATTGAATCACATTCCTCATGCAAGAAATTATGTTCATTCATCATTCATTCAAATGTTTGCAATAATTGTAATTCCGTTTGTTGTCTGCCCCAGCAGTTGCAAGTATTTTTTAATAAGATATTAGAATTAAAAGAAAATACCTTTGCATCATACAAAACGCGAGCTTTTGTTGGGTCTGGTTCAAAACAGAGTACAAATTCACCTACAGAAAAGAGAAACTTCACACCCCTTGTCGACATAATGAAGCACACAATTAAACGAACTTATAACAAAATAGAGTGTTTTTGATACTAATTGGCCAAGTGTATGAAAAGTAGAGATGCAAACGACATTCCTACTGCATTATTTTGGAAAATTTTATCACTATTGTATTCCCGCGTTAGTTTCATCGGAAACCGGATCTACATAATAAACCGCAAAATCGGCACGGTCGGACATAACATTTCTGATATGCTTATGAAAGCCAGGTTTCTGAAAAAGAGTGTTCGGGGTCACATCTTCTCAGAGATAACCTTTTTTTTTTTAAATAAATAGGCATCATTTTGGTGGGTTTTTGAGCAAAATTTGTAGACTTTTTTAATGACAAAATAATACACCGTATATACCAGCATTACTTTTAGATAGATATAAAAAGCTTGTTTCAACAGGGACCTATAAGATAAGATAAGATATGTTTTATTACTAATTCAGTGCCAAAATGAACATAAAGAGAACAAACTTACAAGAGAAAGGCCTAAAATATAGTTGAAAGAAAAAGAAGAAAAAAAAATCATTTAGACATACATGCACCTATATAAACATGTACATAAAATAGACATATGACTCTATATATACCGGTACTAGTATATAGGTCCCGGCATGGTTTCAAACATCACTTTTTCATTTTTTTATTCAAAGGACGGGGTGCGGTTGTACTTAACGCACCCCTTCCTTGTTCCGATGGTCTTTAGTCTGGTCTTGGTCAGTTGGAAATGAACCAAGGAACTCAGGTCAGAGACTCTAGACGCATGGATTGGTATAATCCCCCCCCTTTTAAGATTTTTACAAATTCTCGTACACGATTATTTAACCAGTTACATGTAACATGTCTGAAAAAAAATATAAGAATATTGCGAGGGGGAATATAGTGCCTTGTAATGAAACGGAATGACATGCATAACTTTTAATCTATAAAGTTTTGCAGCTGAAATTAAAAAAAAAAAAAAGATTCAGAAGTATTCCAAACTCGATTATCAGATTATAAGGTCTCAAGAGCTTCTAAGACAAAGACATAAATTTATATGTCTCTGCTTAGGACAAAAAACTTAAGAGACAGTTTAATTTTGTTTTATACGAATCCTACAATGCGCGAGCATAGATTCTGTGCAGGCAATATTTTTTTTTGGAATATCACCCGTCGTCAAGCAAATTGTTGACTGTTGCTTAAGTTCTATCATGCTGGAAGGCATTGGTGTCTCATTCAGAGGGTACATGTAACAATGTTTTTTAACATGTTTCTCGACAAATCAAATTCAAGTAATTAATTTACATGAAAGTGTAGAAGTATAATATTAATTAAGGATTCAAAATAAAATATTCTGCCAGTAGCTGACCTTGTCCAGAAATCTCGAGCACTCACAAAATGCTTTTCATGTTATCTCACAGAAAGGTGCTTTTAATCCTTATGTCAGATAACTATGTCTTTTTAAGAAAGGGGAGGGTGGGGTGTCCAAAGTACTGATAAGCTAATTTAATACTCGGTAAAATCTCATAGCTTACCCATGAATACCCTCCGATCCATGCCAACAATCTAGACTGGCACCACAAAACCCATAGACCTTGATATTATATCTCACTGACCTATATTTCATTTCCTAATGCAGGCATATAAATAAAATCCAAAATTTGATATAAAATATTTTATTAAAATGATTGTGTAAATAAAAATTAAAAGTAATAAATTTCTAAGATTGACATTTTTTTTTAATGAAAATAAATGAATCGCCCAACTCACTTCATATACATGTAATAACATACATAATGTATGCTAGTAGATGTATCTAAAACATTTGCATAAACTATAATACATTTGTACCTTTCAGTTTCCACTTACACATGTCATCTAGAATTGTAAATCTGATGAAATTAATCTTTTTTGATACTTCAAAATGGTTGCTATCACTTATGTCCTCATTCTTTCAAACCTTGCAGAAGGTTATCTTATTAAGAGAGCTCTCTTTATATGTATCAGTTGAAAACGATATTTTTAAAAACAGGTGATTGAGACAAAAGGGTTACATTATCGATATCAGGTAGTGCACATTAGAGTACAAAAATAGGAAAAAGGTGTGTCGACCCCTGACTTAAAAAAGGGAAAAAAAATGGAAAAGGGGGGTGTTCCAGCCCCCAAGTGCCTGAGGTAAAAACTTGATAATTTTTTCATAACAAGTTAGTATCTGATGATTGGATGTTTTAAACGAGAGATCGATATAAAACAGATGGCCTGAGTGATTATTTACATTTAATTTCAATTTCTGGAATTTGACTACCGGTATAATAAATGTATACTTCAAAATATTATTAAATCCAACTGCAAAGCAAGGTATCTGAAAATATCTATAATGTGCAGTATGTATATATTTCCCTCCAGAATGTTGAAAGATTTTACACAGGTACATGAAAAAGTTAAGACACCAAATTTAAGTATAATCAGACCAAAAATTTGGAGGCCTATATATAATTCAATTCAATTTGTTTATTTATCAATTAAGGGCCCTCATGGGGCAAAAAGAAAGTACATTGTAAACACTTATATATAGTCATATACATGTAATACAATATACATACACACAAGAGAGAAAGAGTTGCATGATTGACAGGAGAAAGACAAAAAGGAGGAATATGTATAGACTATCTTTATGGAGATGGTCATTATGAGACCACCTGTAAATAAGGGGATTTGTGTTATGTGTAATCAACAATCAACATGCTCAGATTAAAGAAATACATGTATATGTTATTTACTTCCTTCCGACAAAAAAATTATTGAGAGGGAAAGCCCAAACCCTACATAGTGAATATATTCTACATAATTATATCACAAAAAGCTTTGACATCATGGATAATGCTAATATACATATTATTCTTCAAGAATAATTGCAACTTGAATAAATTCTTCCACAGAAACAGATACTGAATCAAAAACTAATTTAATCTAAAGCAAAATAAAAAGCAAGAAAAAAAAACCCAACCAAAAACAATAAAAATTCTTCCAAAAACAATAATAATCCTTCACAGTGCCAAAAAGGAGTGCAAAGTCATAATATAAACAAGAGGCCCACAGGCCACACTGCTCACATGAGGCACCCTGACTACTGTTCTTCAGAAATTTCAAACGTTTTACCCATCAATAATCCCATGCATAATTTTGACCATTTATTGTGGCACCACATAAGTCCCAGTGGTCATCACTAAACCAAACTTGAATCTGCAATACATGGTGACTCACAATAACATAATGACTTACATGTAGCACAATTGATGTTTGGAGAAGATATTTCATGAAATAAAGATTTTTCCCAATAAACAAGTATTACATAAAAATTTGATCCCTGATTCTAGCCCACCCTTAACCCAAGAGTGTCCATAATTTGAACAACCTTGAATCCATATGAGATAGTCAATATGATTTAGCATTTGATTGCCCGGCTACTCTCAAAATCAAAAAAAAAAAAAAAAAAAAAAAAAATCCTCTATTTTCTCATGTACAAAATTTTTATAACCTTTTCTAGTCCAATCCTAGCCCCAGGGATCATGAATTGAAAAAAAAAATATATGAATCTGCACTAAGATTTCCATGTATTCGTAAATAAGATATTCCATGCAAGTTACAGATCTCATAATATGGCCCTGCCTAAACCCCCGGTCATGGTTAAAATCTGTATTATCTAGGATGCTTGCAAAATATTATGATCTATTTCATATTCCAATCTCTGTTGGGGCCTTACCCTATGCCCCATTGACCACGATCTTGAAAAGATTTTAAAAGACCCCATCCCCGTGTAAAACTCTGATCCACTATTAATTGTGACCCCATCCTACCCCCAAGGTCCACAATTTGAACAAACTTGAATCTGCACTATACATCCAAGTCTTGTTTACCTTGAGAAAAATTTGCAAAACTTGATTCACCTTTTGTTGGTACACCCTACATTTTAAATAACAAACCATAGACCTGCTGTTCTTCATCAGATTTTAAAAGATTTTCCTAATGTATTCCTATGTAAGATTTCGATCTCTTTTGTGGCCTCACACTACCCTCTGGGGCCATGATTTGTGCACTACCTGAGGATGCTTTCATATTAAAATGGCTAGTTATAATGAAGCTCTTAGAAGAATATTTTTAAAGATATTTTAGTATACCTTCCGTTCCCATGACTTTGATTCCTATAGTGGTCCAGGGGCCATGATGGGAACAAACTTCAATATACACTACCAGAGGATGCTTACATATGAATATGAATAATCACTGCCCCATTTGTTCTTAAGATACTTAAAAATATTTCCTTTACAAAACCTATGTAAAACTTTGCCCCCCTAATGCTGCCCCATCTTGGCTCCAGGGACCATAATTAAAAAAAAAAAAAACTTAAAGTTTTGCCTTTTCTGGCCAAATGATTCTTGAGAAGAATTTTATATGATGCCATTAAATTTTCGCATAATCATCTGTCCTTGAAAGATGGCCTTTTCAATCTAAAACTCTTTCATCTAAGAATGCTTTGTGGTAAGTTTGGTTGAAATTGGACCAGTTCTTTCTGGAGTGGAGAAGTTGAAATGGAAGAAAATGACAACACACATATGACAGATAGACAGACAGAAGCCTGAGAATTCCATCAGAAAAGCTCACTTGAACCTTTGCCTCAGGGTAAGCTAAAAAATGTTCCTTCTAAAAGTAATATAACTGATGTCAGACAGACATATAACCTACATTTACAAACAGACTCTCCAAATTCATTATACACAGAGCTGTACTTAAATATGTACACATATGCATAGACAAAACAGAGATGTATAACTTAAATTTGATTTATGTGTTAGGTGTGTGTGAATTAAGATTTTCTGCAGGAAAAAAATATGAATCATTTAAAGAAGAAACAGAGGTGTTTGATTTGACTAAGCTTTCAATGTTAAAATACCTAATAGAAAAATTGCATCTGGTGTAGTATCACCTTTTATTTTATTAGGAGTTTAACATCATTATGTATAATAATGTTTTCTAATCTTTTATTGATTTGGTATACTTATACAAAATAATTTAATTGTAATTAAACCAAAACTGTTGGAGGAGTACAATCTAAAATTTAAAGATGATTTGATATACATGTATTGTCAACAAGGCAACACACAACATTCATCCAAATCCAAAAAAAAAATAAATAAAAAAATAAAAATAATAACAATTCACAGAATTATAATTCTTGACATAGATTATATCCTATTAAGTTTTGTTGAAATCAGACAAAAACTGAGGGAAGGGGTAGTGTTTTGAAAATGTTAAAGAGAATCAATATACACACTGAATTTTTTTTTGTGCATTTTAAAAATGTCTTCTTGTATAACAGTATAAGCATATTTAACCATGGATTTTTACGGTAAGGTCTCGTCTTTCACCGGATGTCTTATCCTGCCCTGAAAACAGAATCTCGGTTTCACCAAACTTCATAGACACTATCACAGTTCTATCTTGTCCCCCTTTAATATTTGGCATATTTACTGTCATTTCCCCAAACAGTTCACATCCTTCGTCAGTAATAAATTGTGGATTTTGGTGTCTTGATCTATAAATATTTACAGTCATTTTGGTCATATCCTCAGTAGACGCAAATACCTCTGTCTGCCTTTCTTCACCTACTTTTACCATTTCCCCGATACTAATGATTTTTTCAAAATAATCAGTGCACAATTGTTTACTTCCAACCCACTGAATCTTTTCCGCTGGATCAGTGGCCAAAGGGTATCGGTTACTCTCTATTCCATATGTGTAATCACATACTCTTGCTGCTATTATACCTTGATCGTGTCCAAATTTCACAGCGCCTTTTAAAACAGCCAACCCTGGTTCAAGAGGAATTTTAACATCATATTCAGGAAATTCCCTGGTAATGTACTTATTAACAATATCACATTCTGCAAATCCTCCAACGAGGATAATTGTTTTTACACCGGCAACCTTTGGGGCCTCTAAAATAGACTTAATATGTATTGCAATTTGACCTACTACAGAATCTATAATTCTTTTTGTAAGATCTGTTTCAAATATAATCTTTGCACCAGCTTTCACTTTTAGTGACTTTTTATGCTGTGACTGCTCAATTATTTTTTTATAGTTATGTCCTCGAATCTCCTCACACAAGTTTGCAAGAGCTGGTAACACTCTAACTGACAATTTGCCTTCGATCTTCAAGTCTCTTTTCTTCAGTTCAATTTCATTCTCCATTTCTAAAACTTCTGCCTTCATCTCCCAAAAACTTCTCATCACTTCTTCACCAAATGTTTCAGTGAATATTTTATAAATCTCTTGATTCACGGCATTCCCTCCCCAATCCCCCCCACTGGCATAATGAAGGTGTTCCAACTTGTAGTCCTTTGTGACCTCTACCACACTGAAATCGGCCGTACCACCTTAAAATAATACAAAGAATTGTAGTTAAGACTCATCCCCTAACAATACATACATTAGCCTTCAATGGAATAATGAAGATATTTATGTTCACTACATTTCCAGAATTCATTGGCAGGTTGTTTTTAGTATGCACCATACTAAGTATCGGTAAAATAATCATTACTGTTAAGATTCAAATGAAAGTGCTTACCCCCTAGATCTGCCACTAAAATTCTTTGCCCTGGTTCATACTTGGTGAAAGGTGTTGATTTCTGCAGAACTAATTTGGCTTCAGTTATAACATAAATTGCAGCCACCTCTGGCTCCAAAGCAAGTGTGAGGCGGTCATTAGGGATACCAACCTGTTATAAATAAATATAAATGGTACAGCAAGTGTGGATATAATTTAATCCATTTTCAGATTCTGTAGATCACCAAAATTTTTGTGACACCTTATTTTCGTGAGATGCTCATTTGGTATTTATAAGCAAGACATAATCTTAGTGAACTTTGGTTTATGTTTTTTATAATCTTTAGTAAAGGAAATATAAGCGAGAATTAAATTTTCGCGAGCAGGATGACTCTCGTAATTAGTTTATTACATGGAAATAAAGTTCTGGTCAATAAAAAGTGATTTACAGTATATAAAATTGTAGAAAGAAATCTGATAAAAATGGAATATTTGTAGATAATATGAGCAACCTTCTCTGCAGCATTCTTCATGAACTGCTTGGAAAATTCATCCCAGATAGCTGGTACTGTAATAATCCAAAATACTTTATTCTCTTCCACTGGTTGATCACTAGATTTGATTGATTCCCAAAAGGTGTCTTTCAAGTAGTTCAGAGATTTTGCAAATACTTCCATTGCACTTAAAGGCTTTCCTTGATGATCCTCAAGCATCATATCAGAATCCAGGCACTGAAATGTATTAACATTGAAACTGTGGAATCCCATGTACCTTTCTACCAGTATGTCCAATTATTAAGAAGATGTTTTCACTATATATATTTGTTGACTATGAACTAGATCAACAAAAAGTTAAGGCAAAAAACACAAAGAATGAATGATTCTGGGGCTAAACCATGAATCCAAGGGTCAGGAATTCCATTGTTATGGTGAAGGGTTTGTTGCTTATCACATATCAACAGTTTGACTGCTTAATGTCCAGGAGTAAAGAAATTGAATCTTGAAGATAACATTAATTTTGGATGGTTTTGGCCTCACACCCTGGGAGGTAGAGACAATCAAATTCACCAACTTTCTTCCCTTTACTCGTAAAATTGGTTAAATCTGGTTCAACAGTTCCAGAGAAGAAGCTAAAAGTGATCAAACTTTACCACACATGCACAACACATGACAGACAAAAACAGACAGTAATAGGTCACCTCAGTGACCAAATATATAGCTGCATGAATAAAGAATAAATAATAAGAGGCCCATGGGCCACATCGCTCACCTGAGCACTTTGGCTAAGAGTTCGGTATTGAAAAGTTTCCCCTGAGGGGAAAGGGAGGGGGGGAGAAGCATGATTTGAACAAACTTGAATCTACACTAACTGAAGATGCTTCCATATTTCTTTGACTAATCATGGCTTTCCTATACATTTTATCTTCTATTATGACCCTGCCTTACCCCCAAGGGTCATGATTTAAACAATCGTGAATCTACACTACCTGAAGATGCTTCCATAAAAATATAACCAATCATGGCTTGGCTGTTCTTGAAAAGATATTTAAAGATTTTTTCTATGTATTCCTATGTAAAAATCTGATCCCCCATTATGGCCCCGCCCTACCGCTGGGGGTCATGATTTGAACAAATTTTAATCTACACTAACTGAGGATGCTTCCAAATAGATATGACTAATCATGGCTTTGCTGTTCTGGAGAAGATTTTTTAAGATTTTCCCTATCTTTTCCTGTGAAAAAATTTGATCCCCCATTGTGGCCTCACCCTACCTTGGGGGGGGGGGGGGCATGATTTAAACAAAATTGAATCTACACTACCTGAGTATGCTTCCAAATAAATATGACCAATCATGACTTTGCTGTACTGGAGAATAAGATTTTTAAAGATTTTTACTATGCATTCCTATGTAAAACTTTAATCAACCATTGTGGCCCCACACTACTCCCAGGGTTCATGATTTGAAGAAAGTTGAATCTACACTTCATGAGGATGCTGCCATATAAATATGACCAATCATGGCTTTGCTGATCTTGAGAAGAAGATTCTTAAAAAAAATTTCCCTATGTATGCCTTTGTAAAAATTTGATCGTCCATTGTGACCCCACCCTACCTCTGGGGTCATGATATGAAAAAAAATTTAAATTAACACTACCTGAGGATGTTTGCACACAAGTTTCATTTTTCCTGGCTCAGTGGTTCTTGAGGAGAAGATTTTTAAAAGGTACCATTAATTTTTAACTAATTTGTAATTATCTGTCCTTGAAAGAGGACATGGCCCTTCAATTAGATGACTTTCACATTCTTCAGAGTTATCTCTCTTTGTCCGCATAATGCTCATTTTCTCACATTATCCTTTGTAACTTACCTGTAAGTATTTAAATCTTCAAACACTTTTGGACTATTTTCTACCGTTCCTGTATTGCCATGGTGTGGGGAAACACAGAAACATAATGAACATATATATACAGATTTAACTTGTAAGACTCTGGCCCATTAAGTTAGGAATATTATAAAGGAAAAACAGTGGGTTACACCGAGTGACCCCAGATTGACCCTGCAAAGGGAAATAACTTTTGTAAATGTGAAAGTCTCTATTAAACAAACTAGAATCCCCTTCAACTAAGGATACTCTGTGGCAAGTTTGGTTGAATTGGGCCAGTGGTTCTTGAGAAGAAGTCGAAAATGTGAAAAGTTTACAGACACACAGACGGATGGACAGCTGGACATGAGGACGCTGGACAAAATGTGATCAGAAAAGCTCACTTAAGCCTGGGCTCAGGTGAGCTAAGAAAGGTAATTTTTCACCTAAAGGACAATTGTGACCTTATTAAAGTGTAAATAAAACTTAACTCTTATTATAATTACAGACCTCTTTCTTATGAAGTGTCATCTTGAAGTTCTTAAAAAATCTGTATTTTGTATGTCTTTCATCCTCTACAAATTCTTTGTACAATTGCTCTGCTTTGTAACCAAATGCCACAAAGTTATCCTCATCATCCAGAAGAAGTGTGGTCGGTGTCTTTAGTGACATGAAGGACTTCTCGGCTGATTCTGCCTTCCATTCTTGTGTTGTGACTATAGATGGCTCCTTGGAGAAAGAATATGCAAATCCAGAGTAAGTGGTTCCAAAGTCTATAGCTACCACCACATCTTTTTCTTCTATAAAATGAAAGTAGGGCATAGGTCAATAAGGAATTACAGACAAGCAATAAATATACTAGTATCAAAATACTGTAAATTCAGGAATCAATTTTTACTTGGCTTTAATTCATCTGGATCTGCCAGGAAAGATTTAGACATAAATTTCTTCTCTGACAATGCTTTGTCTCCCTTGGGTAAAAATGGAAGGTGCTTTCTATCAGTTTTTGATGGCTGTGGCTCTTTCTCTTTAGGACTGATTATTTTTTCCAAGGAACTCGATTCCTTGCTTTGTATCTCTGTCCCTTAGTGAAAAAGAAATGCACTTTTAATCTCTGAGTCATGCCCCATAACTGGTCTTATTTCCCACTTCATATCATAATATTTATGTTATTGTTATAAACAAATATAAAATACAGGATATAAGATATCACAGATATTTCTTTATCACAATTGATACATATAGGTAAGTGCCTGAAAGATTGTTTAGTGTCCCACATGAAATGCTGACATAGTAAGACAGAATACCATATAAGTAGAATTTTTGGCAAGGATTTAATTTTGGCACTATTAGCGAGGGCTCTGAAATTGCTAAATTTGAATATCGCTAACAATTTATTCCCTATCTGTTGCTATTGCTATCTCTCGATCTTGACATTATAAAATTGCTAAAATTACTTCTCACTAAAAATATACCAGTTTTTTGGGATAAATCACTAAATTTGCGTCTTGCTAAAACTTCCACTTATATTAAAATGAAACATCTGTATGTACAGAAATACATGTATACAGAAAGAATCTGCCTGAGGTAAAATGTTTAATCAATGTCAATTTTTTTTTTTTTGGAAAGGGGGGTCGGAATTTTGTCTCTGCACTCCAAACACATTTTCCTAAATTTCTATAATGTGTATAATTATATATCTTCATTTAAATTACAGAAAAAGGAGTAAAATAAGTGACATAAATCTTAAATAGGATTTTTTTTGATCAAGTAAATACTCAATGTTAAAGTCACTTTATAAACTTAATACATATTTTAATTAAGAAATAATTCCCGCGTCAAAGGAATTGTTGGAGAATATACTCCGATAGTTGAGAGATTTTGTTGACAAATAAAAACTGAGCCAGAAGGGAGAGGTTTTTATTTGCCAACAAAATCTTGAGACTGAGGGTATATTCTCCAACAATTCCGACAACCAGAGAATTATTTCTATTCTGCTACGCCGAATATTTAAACTTCTATATAGAGAAATCCAGAAGCTAGATTTGGAGGTCATCAGAAACGTTTTTTGACTTCACAATCGAATGCTACTCCTCATTCATTTGTATCTCAAGCATTACATGTAGAAAGGGTGTGATGTAATCCGAACCCAAAGTAATTTTTTCCCCACCAATTTAAGTCACAATCAAAAGATACCTCTATCTTTTTCCAAGTTGACACAGTCAAAATTAGATGATATCAATTCAAAATTATTGATAATTTTTGATGATCTTTGTGAATTATTGGAGAATAATGGCAGCAACATCTCTTTGATCTTTGCTATAACTGTAGTAGAATAAAAATTATATTACACTAAAATATAATTACTATTTCAAAACTTACCCTTATTGGTACGAATAAGATAGCTACTTTTAAAAAGCTGATCTCCTTTTAGTGGTTCAGACAGAGCTTTGTTACTGGATGCTACAAAAGAGATTGATTAATAAATCTGTGACATTTTGTGTACAGTCAGTACATATTATCGCATGTACATAATAATGTTAAAATCAAAAACTGATAAACCTTATATCTTGGTGATGTCTATTTGTGTACAAAGTTTTATCTATTCTGCTCTGGCCCAATAATTCTTGAGAAGATTTCTACATGACCCCACCATATTACCACTGTTTCTGAATTATCTCCCCTTAGAAAGGGGCTTGGTCCTTAACTAGAGCAAAATTGAATCCCCTCTGCCCATATACAGGAGCTTTTAGACCAGGTGAGCTAAAAACTTTAAACAAGCCAGGCTCAGATAAGCAAAATATTCTTCAAAGAACAGTTTAAGAAATAGTTATTCTGCTCATGCTAATACTTTAGTGATTATTGGATAAAGTATAAATTGCATCAACCAGAAAATTAACACTTTCTAATATGTCACCAGCTTTTGGAAACAAATGTGTAAAACAAAAGACATAAATACCTGGGGTATCTGATGTAGGTCTCTCTCTCTTCTCTGTTTGTGATGGCTTTAAAAAGTGTCCCATTGAATTTTGCTCTAAAACCTTTTTAAATTCCAAGACAAATTCATCTTTTTCCATAACAAACATCAGAAAATCATAAACTCTTTGTTTTCTTGATTTTCCTGAACTGGCCATAAAACCATCCAATGTATCCTTCTGTATGTGTGGAAACTTTTTAAATGTCTCAAGGATAATACTGGACTCAATCTCATCTTGTATTTCATGAATACGATCTAAAATTGGTTCTCTGATTATTTCTGAAAGAAAAAATACTTGAAATGTCAAAAAAAAAAAAAAAAAGAAAAGAAAAAACGAACAAACAAATCCAAGGAATTGTTGTCGCCCACTTTCAGGGTCTTATTGGATGGGGTGTAGTGATCTAATTCCATATTGTAATTGTCTTGTCTGTCTGTCATGCTGGGAAAGTTTTACATTTTTGAAGTAATATTTCTGGTGCAAAGTTACACCAAGGTAAAAGTTTCGAGTCAAACTTCAAAGTCTAGGTCATGAGATCCCAAATCATAGTACCACTGGAAAAGGTCTTGTCACAGGTAATGCACATGTGAAAAAATACAGAAGCTTTGTCTCTTATGGCAAAAATGTTAAGGTCAAAGTTCAAATTTTTGGAAAGTAAATCAAACTTCATGATCATGAGGTTAAAAATCATAGTACTTTTATAAAGGTCTGTCACAGGTAATGCACACATGAAATATGAAAGCCTTATCTTCTCTCATTCAAAAGTTATGACCAAGGTTAGAGTTTTTAGTGACAGGCAGATTGACCAAATGGATATACAGTCAAACTTTGTTATCTCGAACTCAATGGGACCGAGAAAAATTTGTGAGATATCTGAAGATTCGAGATATTGAGGGTAAAATACTTAAAGAATAAGTTGTTGGGGCTTTCAAACCACTTTGACATATTCATGGTATTCGAGATATCAATGTTAAAGATACTGAAGTTCAACTGTATAGATGGACAGATTTAATGTCCCTGCATTGTTGCAAAAGTGAGCGACCAAAATGATAAGCATTTTATATGCATTTGAATTTCGGTGTATTATACATCATACAATGCCACCATTGGGTTGATTGATTCATTGTATGTTGTTTTATGTCCCGTTTGAGAATTTTTCACTCATATAGAGATGTCACCATATACCGATGGGGGACTTCAAATTTAGACCTTATTCGGCACTCAGGGCCATTGAGCAGTGATTGTTCTTTATCGTGCCATGGGGCCTCGGTTTTTAAGGTGTCATCTGAATGACCCTCAACTTTCACTTCAAAGTGCCTAGTGCTTGGTGAAGGAACAGTTGCTACCTATTTTTTATCGACTTAGGTCAGTCGCGGCATTGATTCGAACACATGACGTTCCGATCACAGAGCGAGTGCTCTACCGACTGAGCTACCGTGACGGTATCACCATTGGGTATTTCAATATTAATCACTGATTACATTTGGTTACACACTGTGTCCATCAGATTATAGCTATTGAAGAAATTCATAAAACATGGAAAAATTCACATCCCATAGGAAGAAGTTAAAAGAATTTACGCACTTGAGGTATGCTTTTGGCAGGAATTGAACACACACCTACATGTAGCATGGGGAGAGCATTTTCCAAAATGTCCAAAATATTCTGAGCTAACAAAAATCAGACAAAGGTACCAAACAAATCTACCAGTTTCAAAATGCTGTGTTCCAACTACTTCACAGGAGATTGCAAATTTATCAATTCTATCAAAAATACCTAATGCTGCAAACTCTGTACCACATAAAAACTGCAAATGCTAACTCTAAATTCACATCTACATTTTACAAACTGATAATTCAATGTTTGAAATATTTGCTGTTAAATCTTTTTTAACACAAAGTTGACTTCATTAGTATTTGATTGGTAGCACTGATGCCAATGTTAATTAACTAATTGCTGTTAAGTACAACTCTTTCTGATAAGTGGTGTAAATATTTTTTCCATCTAAATCAGACTTTAAAACTTGACCAGATTTTGAAAAATTCATGGATGTGGATGAATGACCTCATAATCTTTTCATTCGATAACTTATGTAAAACTTATTACATCTGATTCATTTAGTAAATTGGTAAATTGTTGTTTATCAGTTGAAATTGGTCATAAAAAGACCATGTTGGGTGTATTTTGGTCTGTAAACATGCCCCCCTCCATGGAACAACAAAAGCTTTGGCATGAATTACTTAATAACAATTTCTACTATATGTAAAAAGGAATTTTTGTCTCACGGGGGGGGGGGGGGGGGGGGGGATTTTTAAAACATTATCCATTTTCTATTGATTTCTATAGTGAAACACAAATGTTTTACCAAAATTATAGTTATCTTTCTTTGTTTTCCCAAATAAATTATGTTTTGTGAAAATTCTAAAAATATCTATATAAATATGAAAAATCATTCAAATATGTTAACTTTTGAAATTTGAATTGGAGGTAGGCTACAGAACAATATTATCATAGTTCTTTATAGCCCAGATATAAAAGATAAAACTTTTGAATTTTCCAATCAGACTAATGAAACAAAAGAACATGAAAAGTTTTTACAGTATAATTTGATGAGTAATTGCATTTGGCAGTTTTCCCCGTTTTGTAGATAGAATTTCTGGTGACAAGTGAATGCAAAATGCCTCAGTCCACAACACATAAGTGAGGTACAGTTGAACTCTGGTATCTCACACACTGACATCTCTAATACCATGTGTATTTCAAAGTGATTTCGAAGTCCCAACCACTTATTCTTTATGTATTTTACCCTGGACATCTCAATCCTCGGATATCTTCGAGGGTTTTTAGTCCCATTGAGTTCAAATTAACAAGGTTTGACTGTACATGTATTATATTGATTTTTTTTACTCTAGACCTAATAAAGCAATGAAAAAAAAATTATAGCAAAAGGACATGTTTTAGTACAAACCTGCTTCTTTGTGATTATCCTCTATTTTGCTAACATCAATTAGACCTGCAAGATCCTTTCTATCCATAAATAGCAGAAATTCCAAAAAAGTTTTCATCCTGTCATCAGGAAAACCGAGAATGATATGTAGGGCTTCCTCAATCTTTTTCTTCCTCCCTTTAGTATTATCAATCTTTGTTTTATGGGATTCACCGAAAAGTCCTTTATTCATGAAAAATGTGACCATTTGAGAGGGTTCCAATTCATCAGTAAAAATATTCCACTGTTCCCTTATATTTCTGCGCATCACATCTTCAGGTTTCCTTGATCGAATTTCTGATAAAATTAAAACACAGGTAATCAAAGATTATAAAGCTCACCTCACTGAATGTTATTTATTAGAAAGGCAATTCTCAAATCATTTTTTTCTAAATTAGTATGCATCCTGGGATCAACATCCATGCAAGTTTGGTTCAAGTAGGACTTATAGTTACTTGGAAATGAACCTGCTCCAAAAACTTAAACCTGTTCACTCATTCAGAAAATGTTGACCAGATTCAGCATCTGAAGCAAGTCTAGCAGTGTCCATCCCTAGTTGCAACATCCAAGCAATCATAACAAGCTATATAGTTACAGAGCTACTCGAAAAACATTACCCTGCGGACTCATCTAGAAAATGTAGGTCATATCCAGGATCTCATGCAAGTCTGGAAGTGTACATCCTTAGTTACATCATCCATACAAGTTTGGTCCAGGTAAGGCTTATAGTAAATTGGGAAAGGACCTGTGCCAAAAACTTTAGCATGGTCATTCATCTGAAAAATGTAGGTCAGATCCAGCATCTAAAGCAAACCTGGTAGTGTGCATCCTATGATGCATCATCCTTGCAAGTTTGGTCCAGCTAGGGCTAATAGTCATTTTGGAAAAAATATATAAGGGTTATCCAAAAAATTTCAGAAAGTGTTTTCACATTACTCAAATTGCTATGTTGCATAGCTGAATCTAACTATGCAACACTTTGATCGAGCAATGGTGATTTTTGATTTGTGAAGATAGATCCCTCTACTTTTCAAATTTTGTAAGCTAAGACTCCATGAAAAACCACTGTTCATCAACTTTAGCTACATTGTAAAACTCTAACGTTGACTCAAAATAATTGGGAAAACATCTCTACTCAGTCTAATGTTAAAGCATCATTATTCATGGGGGTCCAATGTTTGTGGATCACCTTTACCCATGAACAATCACACATATTTGTCAAGATATAGGCCCACTGAATCTTCTGTATTCCATAAACTCACATATTTTCATGGGGTCAAATTTTCTAGGCTTGAGATGAAAATGTCAGTTTGTGGGGATTAGATATCATGGTTAGAGAGGTAATGAATAGTTTTGTGCAAGAAATTTTAATTTTATGGTGGACATGAATTTGTGGGTCTCTTCATACTTTAAAAACAATGAAAATTAACCCCCCAACAAAAATTAGTGATTTCAAATTATACAGGTAATTCTCGAAATTATGTTACGAAACTTTGGCTGTTTACAAACATTGTCCACCACAAATTAAAATGATCCCACAGTATATCAAAAATCAAATCATTACCCATTTCTCTTTGATTTAAAGCTTTTCTTGAGACTTCCACATTCAAGGTTTGACCATCAAGTTTTTCCGTTCCTATCCGCATTAGTAAGGACTCCACAACTGACTGTATCTTAGCTCCACCCTCAGCCAAAAAGTCTCCTATTGCAGCATCAGTTAATGGTCGTAAGTGAATGATTATTGATCCTGAGGTTGCATTTTTCACTGCCATATGTGTCTGTTCTGTTACTTGAATTTTCACATTGGGGTTTTCATTTATAACTGTTACAACTTGAATGAGTTCTTGGGAAACTGGATCAACCTCCTTCTGTATTTTGACATAAAGATGAAATGGGCCATCTGGAAATTCTAAAAAAAAAATTTGACTCAATCAATGCACATCCATATACCTTCTAGGAAAGTTTCATATATCTATCTATCTATTTATATATATATATATATATATATATATATATATATATATATATATATATATATATATATATATATATATATATATATGATATTTTGTAAATAATGCATGTTTTAGAAGGTAACAGTTAAAAAAAAGCCCCCTCAACCAACCAATCACTGCCAAAAGAAAACCATACCGACATTGGAGGTTGATATTGATATTTAAAGGGATGTCAATTTTAACTGTTACCTCTATTTATTTTCTAATACTAAAGCCTGATGATACAAAAAAGTCAGAAATTGCCATTCAGTTCTCATTTTAAAACCCTCCTCTTCAATTTTTCTCAGTAAAGAACTTAAAGAACTCCTATTAGTTTGATACTCATAGAGCCCTTAATTATTCTAAAGCAATTTCAATATTTCTGCACTTGTAAACATTTTTCTTCTCTGAAATCTAAGTAGTGTTTGTTGTTTTCAATCAATCCTATTTGGGCAGAAGCTTTAGTTAGCATCATTTTTATTCATCTCCTTTCAAAGACACAAATGGCATTTTGAGAACTGTACACCCATGTGAAATAAAGGACAAGATAGGCTAAGACCCCTTTTTGGCCCCCGGTTCGGGGTGTCTTTTAGAGTGATGCAACAGTTTATCAGTTAAAAATCTGTTGTCACCCTTGCCACAAAATGAGTATTTGTTCTAAGTTATGGGATACACAGAGGTAACAGGAAGGTTGGAAAATATGTCAATTTCCGAATTTTCTCATTTTTATGCAAATTTTCATCGATTTTACAGCACATTTTGGTTCAGAAAACATAGAGCACAAGCTTGCCTATCTATCAATTTTATATATTTCATACACTAGTATCAGATGCATCTTATGTATAAAAATCTCAGATAGGCAAGCTTGTGCTCTATGTTTCCCAAAGTGAAAAGCATCTCAAATTTCACGAAATTCGATCAGAATTGAGGAAATTTGGGAAAATGTCCTACTTTTGCACCCTCTTGTGGCCTCCGTGTAAGCCTTGAATCAGAATTAGTGCTGGTTTTAAAACAAGCATCATTTTAAGTTCTTAACTACAAACTAGCACAATTTTAACTGTGTTTTGATTTTTTACATAAAATAAGGGGCCAGATTTGGCCTTTACCATACCTTGTCCTTTATTGTTGCCCATTGCAAAGTATATGTTATTTGTGCTGATGTTGACAAATTGGTTAATGAATCTAAACCAATCAGATTTAAGTATAATAATTCATATAATATATTCATTTCAGCTAAAACTTTGTGTTCTATCACTACCACAAGATTTACCTGCAATATGAGGATTTCCAACTGCCTCTAGTCTGATAGCTGGATTCTCCATATCTACAATACATTTCATTCACAAATTTTATTTTGAGGTAAAAATTTTTGAAACATCCCTCATTTTTATTCTTACTAGGTAAATCATACCAAAAACTAAAAGAAACGAAATTTCATAATTACTTGAAGCTGTGTCTTCCTCCACATTTGTTTTGATGAGTTCCTCAAAATCCACACCGGTAACTTCAAGTGCATAAGCAAAACTGTCCAGTACCTCTTGAGATACATTTTGGATGATGCGAGACAGTAAGTTTTCAGCTTTGTTCCTGCGACTCAGCTCATCCTCCAATTCATCATGTTCATATGGAGAAAGAGCCCCTTCTTCTAAGAGTATGTCACTTAAATCACTGGGCTGGAGTTCTGATTTTAGCTGACTCTTGTAACGTTTTATCTCTTCTTCACGGATTCGTCTCTTGATAGGAATTCGTCCTATTCAATGACAGAAAAAATATATCTAAACTAAATGATAAATGTATCATGTATATTTGCCTTTAAGTCAGATGTATTTTTTCCAGATTATTTTGAGGAATTTGCCATTAACCTACTTACAAGTTGGAGCAGTTTTTGCCAGAATCTGTAGCCAATTTCAGATTAACACTCTTTCGTATTTACCCAACAGTTTGTTTCAAAGAATATTTTGGGGAGTGCCATCGATATTTGATCTTTTATTGACAACTTTAACAAATACAAAATGATTTATATCTATTTATATGCAAGTGTTAACCTTAGATCTTCCTTTCCTGCATTAGATTAAGTTTAATGTATTATAAAACGGCAAATACTGGAGTAACAGGTAAGAAACATAGTTATACCATTTTCCTTTCTCTCCTTAAAATGACTGCGTGCTTTTTTAAAAATATGCTCCTCTGTTTCCTCCAAATATTTCAAAAGACTGTAACATCCCCTCTTTTCAGATTTCAGTGCACTTTTTACCAGTCTGCCTCTCTCTTTTGTACTCTCTTGAGTCGGCTTAGCTTGAATGATGCGTTCTGAACAGAGGTGTTCAGCTGTCAACTCAAAATGAAGATTCTGTCTTATCCATCGGAAATTCAACCTAACACACTCCAAACAAATCTCTGAAAAATAATGTTAAATGTCAAAATAAAGGATTATAAGTTGCTAAAATATTTCCTGGAGTAAATTATGTATAAAAAACAAGAGGCCCATAGACCTTAACTATCCTCTGCCTATCATGTAGTAACTTTATATGGAGACATATGATCTTATGGGTTTATTTTTTTACCATATCCACAAAGACCACAATCATGGAATTTTCATCTGGCCCCATATATCCTCAGAATTCATGGTTTGTAGGGTCTTCATACAATATATGACAAATTTTTATCTTGTTTTTGACAAGGTCTTAAAGTTTTTTTTTTGTTTATTACTCTGCAAGGGATTATCCAACTTTTGTGAGTAATTCTGATCAACAAAATAATATCCTTGAGCTCCATATTGAATTAAAAACTAAAATTAAAGAAAAGGAAAAAACTACTCTCAAAGGAACACAGAAATTTTGCATGGAAGACACCAGACCTTTTTTTGTACGTCGTTGCCCAATATCCTAGCAACCTGTAGCCAAGCTTTTCTTTTCCTTCAGATTTCTGTTGAAGCTCTGGACCACCATACTGGTTCATCCTTTCCCCAAGGTCCAAGATTTAATAAAGGAATGAATTTAAAAATAGCTACCCAAGTTATATTGTATAACCTGGGTTGGGGCTGTTTATGCTTTAAAAACTGTGAAGTGGTTAATAAACAAAGCCCATGTTCACTAACTAAGGCCCTTCTGTTCTTTAACAGCAGATTTTTTCCCCTGTATATTGCTATTTAACAACTTGGATCACATATTATGGCCCTATCCTATCCCCAGCAGGGTTGCAAATAACATTTTAAACTTAGGGGTCATGTGGGCCCCCAACTTCACAAGTTTTACTCGCCAACATTGATATTTTGGGGCTATAACTATTTTCTGTTCACTTGGTAGAAAAAATAATTTCTTATGATAATCTCAAATACTTTCCTGTCCAATGTCTTTCAGTTCAGTTTTTCCTGGGGATTTCAACTTCACTTGTATGAAATTCCATGTTTTCATTCACTTCAAGATATGTATTTTGAATTAAATGTTTCCATCGTAAAATTACAAAAAGCGTACTTTACCAACTTTCACTGTTCATAACATGAAATATTTTTACCCATGGAAGCAGCAAAAAATCAGAAAACATTTTCAACATTTTTATTTCAGGAGGAAAATTATGAATATAAAGCTGCTAATTGTGAATAATACACAGTGCATCTTAATGGGATATGGATAAAAACATGCTACTGTTGATACATAAAAGGAAAATTTAATAAATGTTGAAGGAACTTTCATACTTTCAAGGAAGCATTTCATTGACATGATTCTGGGTCTTGAAAATGTTTTATAGGAAGAAAACTGAGTGAAAATGAAAGTGCATTTAAAAGTGGAACCAAACCACAAACAGGTTCAGGAAAATGTCCGGTAAGTTCTTACTTGCTGTGTGGGTGATAATATCCTTAAGAGTTGGTCGCCCACATGCAAAGTCACTCGCATTTGAGAGTGGGCAAGTGGTTATTTGCAACCCTGCCCAGGGATTTTCCCTATACCTAGTAAATAAGTCTAATCCTAGCTTTGCTGTTCTTTAGAAAAAGAATTTTAAAGACAGGATGATCACCCATTATTCTTATTGCCCCACCCAACCCCAGGGGGTCATGATTTCAACAAGAGGCCCAAGGGCCTTGAATCGCTCTTCTGATAAACTGTACAACCTATCACTTCTATTTGAAGCCTCTAAGTATCCTGTATATTTAGATAAACCCTTGAAATTCCAAAGGTAGGTCATCATGATCTACATTTTAGATGAAACACTCTGAGAACCCAAGATGACTCTAAGCCAATTAGTACCTAAGAGTAGGTCATGGTGACCTACTTATCACTTGTCATTCTCTGAGGACCCAAGATGCATCAACTAAGTTTAATGATTCTAAGCCAATTAATACCTAAAATATTTTTAAAATTATAACCATAAAATTTCAAAAGTAGGTCAACCTACTTTTCAGATGACATAATTTGAGGACCCAAGATGCATCAACTAACAAAGTTTGATGATTCTAAGCCAATTAGTACCCGAAAATATTAAATTATAGTCATATAAATTGAAAAGTAGGTCAGGCTGACCTACTTTTCAGTTGACCTACTCCGAGGACCCAAGATATATCAACTGACAAATTTTGATGATTCTAAGCCAAATAGTACCCGAAATTATTAAATACAGCCAGAAAATTTCAAAAGTAGGTCAGGGTGACCTACTTTTTAATTGACCTACTCCAAAGACCCAAGATGCATCAACTGACAAAGTTTGATGATTCTAAGCCAATTAGTACCTGAAATATTTAATTAAAGCCATAAATTTTCAAAAGTAGGTCATGGTGACCTACTTTTCAGTCGACCTACTCCAAAGACCCAAGATGCATCAACTGACAAAGTTTGATGATTCTAAGCCAAATAGTACCCAAAAATATTAAATACAGCCATAAAATTTCAAAAGAAGGTCAGGGTGATCTACTTTTCAGTTGTCGTATTCCAAGGACCCTGTCCCAAGATGCATCAACTGACAAAGTTTGATGATTCTAAGCCAAGTACCTGAAATATTTAATTAAAGCCATAAATTTTCAAAGGATGGTTCAGTTGTTGTACTCCAAGACCCAAGATGCATCAACTGGCAAAGTTTGATGACTCTAAGCCAATTAGTACACAAAATATTTAATTAAAGCCATAAATTTTCAAAAGTAGGTCACAGTGACCTACTTTTCAGTCGACCTACTCCGAAGATCCAAGATGCATCAACTGACAAAGTTTGATAATTCTAAGCCAATTAGTACCCGAAATATTTACTTATAGTCATATAAATTGAAAAGTAGGTCACCGTGACCTACTTTTCAGTTGACGTTTTCGAGGACCCAAGATGCATCAACTTACAAAGTTTTATGATCATAGGCCTTAAAATGTCCAAATTATGCCTTTAAACACTTTGAAATCGAATGCCTGCAAAGTTCAAAAAGTAGGTCACTGTGACCTACTTTTTAATAAATATGTTTTATGGCCCCAAGATGCATCATCTTACAAGATTTAATGATTCTTAACCTCTCAATATTCGAATTAATGACCTTACTTGTTTTGAAAAAGATTAGCCATAAATTCAAAAAGTAGGTCAAGGTGACCTACTTTTTAGTCGACGTACTCTGAGGACTTAAGATACATCAACTGACAAAGTTTGATGATCATAGGCCTTTTAATTGTTCAAAATATGCCTCTTAATCGTTTTGAAAAAGAATGGCTGCAAAATTTAAAAAGTAGGTCACCGTGACCTACTTTTGAGTCTACATGATATGAAGTTTTTAGATGCATCAACTGACAAGATTTGATGATCCTAGTTCTTATAGTAAGCAAAATATCAACATTTTAATAAAATGTAATTTTTGGTTAAATTTGAAGTGACCTTGAGACCACGCGATGCCTTGTACAATTTTTAATCTTCAACATATCCTCATCCTTTTGTGTAAGTTTGGTGATAATCTGCCCAGTGATTCTTGAGAAGAAGATTTTTAGCAACCTATTTTCCTAATTATCTCCCCCTTTTTAACGGTCACAACCATAGTTTTAATATAAATGAGAGCCCTTGGACCAAGGATACCCTGTGTCAAATTTGACAATAATTGGCCAAGGGGTTCTTAAGTTATGGCCCATATTCTAAAAAGTTTACGCACACCGCACAAATGGCCATAGCATTAGCTCTTTGAGCCTTTGGCTCAGAAGAGCTAACAACCTTGAACTTAAACTACCTGAGGATACTTCCATGTAAATTAGTGATCACTGCTTTGCTGTTCTTGAGAAGAAGATTTTTAAAGATTTTTCCTATATATTCCTACGTAAATCTTTGATCACCCATTGTGGCTCCACCCTAACCCAGAAAGGGGGGGGGTCAAAATTTGAAAAAAATATAAATATGACAAATTTTGGCTTTGCTGGTCATGAGAAGAAGATTTTAAAGGATTTAAAGGATCCTATGTAAAACTTTGATCGCCAATTAATGTGGCCCCACCCTACTTCCATGGGTCATGATTTGAACAAACTTGAATCTAAACTACGAGGATGTTACTACATAAATATTTCTATAAATCATGGCTTTGCTATTCTTGAGAGGACAATTTTTAAAGATTTTTCCTATACATTCCTATGTTAAAAATTTGTTCCACCATTGTGGGCACAACCTACCCCTGATGGTCATGATTTGAACAAATATAAATCAACATTAAGTAATGAAGCTTTCACATAAGTTTTATCTTTTCTGGCCCAGTGTTTCTTTGAAAGATGCTGTTAAATTTTCACTAATTCTTAATTGTCTCCCCTTGAAAGAGGATGGGGCCCTTCATTTGAACAAACTTGAATCATCTTAACCAAAGGATACTCTGTGGCAAGTTTGGTTGAAATTTGCACAGTAGTTCTGGAGAAGAAGATGAATATGTGAAAAGTTAATGATAATGGCCAAAAAAAAACCAGACAATTTTTGTACTTCCTCAAAATTTGCATTAGAAGTGGTGTATACAGCATGATGCATATATATGCATAATAAAGTTTCACAAAGGTCCTCTAGTTAGTGAAAGTCTTCAATAATACATACAACAAATAAGAAAATAAAGTTCAAAACTGTTTTGCAGACCAGGTATGTCCTTAAGGTTCATGATTCCCTCCATTTACTTGCATAATATTTTGCTTTAAAGTTATTGATTTCAAAAAGAATTTAATTTATAATAATAATGCTTACAATTTTAGCTCAACTTGCAAGGCAAAATTTGATAGAAATGGCCTACAGCTCAGGTGAGCTAAAACAAACCTTTTTTTGTCTCTTTTGCTCGGTTCTGAAGGACATCCAAAATATGCTGTTGTCTTGTGATCTCTAATCCATGAACAAAAACTTTCAAGCACTCTTCAGACTTATCCTCTAAATTTTTCAGTATTTTCTTCACTTTTTCTATCCGTCTACATTCAGAATCTAATTCATCATGGGTGTCTATGTCAAAAACTTTTTCTTGAAACAGGAAATCAGAAATGCTTGATGCCTCAAGTTCCATCAACAGTGTCTCCCGCTTACTTCTAAGCTGACTTTTGTTTATGACTACCCCACTCTCTACCGTCACTGTCATAAAAAAAGAAAGATAAATTAATATTAGTGAAGCATCCCAAGATTATTCTATTCATTCATGTTCCTTATACTTCTCAACTACGAGTATGACTTGACTTGAAATACTTGCATACTTTTATGACTATGACTTGAAATCTATTACCTGATTGGCTAGAATCAAGAGTTAAAATTTAGTATGCCCTGAAGATGTCACTTGTGGCGGCCACAGCTTTAGTGACTTACCTACCAACGGTTTGTGGGGAGTGAAGCAAACTGAAAAACCTTGGCTTGTGAACAAGGTATAATGTACATGTATGTAAATAAGTAAAGCAGCAACTAATGGTGCACAAGGTTTTTTTTCAAAACTGCAGTATTATGAACTCCTAAAAGGACAAAACTCTCAACAATGTATAACCATAAAATATCCCTTTGAACATCCAAAAATGTGAAAGGGAGTAGTCAAGACCATTTATGCAGCAAAAAGTGCTTCACCTCTAACTAGCAAAACAAGAGGGTTATTTCATGGCCATAAGATTAAGAGCATGTCCCTTTTAAAGTTTCAAAACAATTTTCAATTAATAAATTCCCAGTGTTTTCAAAGTATAAAATTGTGATCATTTTTCAACCAGACTTCTTGACAAAGATATTTTTCCTTAAGGAAAGTACTAACAAAATGAGTTCTAGTTGGAATATATATACATGTATATCAAATAGACTCACTGTAATCTGTTCTCTGAACTTTCTCTATCCTGTCATAGATACCATAGTCTGGATTTTTCAAAACCTTCAAAAAATTTTGACATGCTTCCTCTCCCTTGTTAATGATGTGTTTAAGTAGTTTGCCAATCTTCCTTTCATTTAAATCTTTAAAATCGACTTTTTCTTCATCACTAAGTACAGAACACTGAAGCAGTTCATCCAACAGTAATCCATGAGTGATCAGGTTTTCTTTGATGCATAGAAACGACCTCCTTATTATATCCCTAGGGTCATCTGTAATAAAAAAAATCAACTTACTGAAAAAAATCAACACAAAATACAAAGCCTCTGCCTATGATATCACAAACAATTGAAAGTTTTTCATATCTCAAATACTTGAATACCTCTACAGCTCAACCAAGTTCCAGATATCAAAGCTCAACTGTAAAATCTCCAATATACTTAAAATCCTTCAATGAACTTGACAAATTGTCTTGCTCTTTTTGATTTTTTAATTGTTTGCCCCCATAAAATGGCTGGGGCATGTAGCGTTACCCTATTTTGTCATTCTGTCTTTCCATCATTCACTTTCCTTTCATTATCTCTGCAACAGTTGCACGCATTCAACTTAAATTTGACTTATGGATACATCATAGGAATACGCAGGTCAAATTCGACTTTTGTCATGGTCCGATAATTTTTGACAGAGTAATCCCTCTTGAACTTACAAAAAAAAAAGAAGAAATTTTTAGTTTCTGCTCTCTAATTTTTGTAGGGATGTATGTATAAGGTTAAAATTGCATACGCAGATATTTTACCAGAAAATACAAGTTAAATTCCAATTTGGTCCTGGTGCACACAAATTTAGAACTAAATATAACATTTGAAATTTTTCGGCTGTCTGTGGGGGCATTCGTGACATTACTACACATTTAGTTTTAAATTAATACCTTACATTTATCTTTAATCATAGTATGGGTGCAGTTTTTGTTGGATGGGAATTAAATGCATTACTCTATATGGTATCACTGTGATCAGAAGGCTGAAAACAAGTATTTAGTACAAACAAACAAACAGATTGGGGTTCAGAAAGATTAACATTTTACTGCAGTACAAAATTTGCTGGTAGCTGAAAATCAGATCTTCAATAAAGATCTACCTCTAATGCCACCTCCACCCTCTGCCATGTCAACTGTTTATCCCATCTACATCAGTCTGCAAACCCTAAAAAACATTTTAATTATAATTTGACATCTATATACATTATATACACATGTAATAGTAAATTGGAAAAGAATGGTCCAAAAACATCTACCTGATAACTTAGTAATAAATTAGTCACATGAAGAATCTGAATCATGATTGATACAGTGTACATAGTAAGGATGAATCTATACAAGTTGGATCAAGTAGAAATTAATTGCTTTGGTTTTAACCTACTAAAAAACTTTGAAGCAAATTATCCATCTGGAAAATGAAGGTGCACTAATTAGGGCTGGGACGATACAACTTTTTCTATATCGATACGTATCCCGATATTTGAGCCACGATACGATATGTATCACGATATGTTTAATTGGTTATAAATTCTTTTTTTATATTGAAATGAACAAAACATTTCTTCACAAATAAGAATAATTTATTCAAAGAAGTTGCATATCTGTTGTAAAACTTAATTATTTTGCACAAGTGGTCTTAATTATTATGTATTTCATATTTATATTTATATTAAGCATATTTATTTTATATATTAAACCCAAAATGTTAAGTAAACAAAGAAAAACACAAGTCAGAATTTTTTGGGAGATATGTCGATATTTCTTCATACGTATCAATATGCGTATCATCCTCACATTGAATCGATATTATCGATATCTCGATATATCGTCCCAGCCCTAGCACTAATGCAGCATCCAAAACCTCATGGCACATCTGCAACCTCAGTACAGCTTTTTCATAACAGGTTTCAATTAATTTTATATCCCTCAAAGTCAGTAAAACAAATTTCCAATGACAAACTTTCAAAAGAAAGCACAACCTTCTAACCCTCCTGAATAGCTTTTGGGTAGACATCAAACTTCCTATTTTTAATCTTACTGCACATCTTAATATGTTGTCAATGATATATGTTTGTTTGTTGTTTATGTCTCTCTCGAGAATTTTTCACTCATATGGAGACGCCACCACTTGCCGGTGGAGAACTTTTGACCTATACTCAGCACTCAGGGCCATTGAGCAGTGAGGGATCTTTTTCGTGCCAGCACCTACTGCGACACGGGACCTCTGTTTATATGGTCTCATCCGAAGGACCGGTCTCTAATGATATGTAAAGAATTATTTAGATATATATCTCTAAAAATGAAGGAAGGAGTCCTGATGAAATAACAATTAAGAATCCTCTATGTTTATGTGAGGGACATTTCTGATAGAACTGAAGGTATAGATCTACAGATGTTAGCAATGTTAATACTGATGGTTGATATAAAGGTCAAAGGAAGCATATTTTATTTGTTTATTTGAGTAAAATATAGCAGGGACCTTTAGTATATATATAGGTCCCTGAATATAGTATAGCCCTCTGTAAGAACTGTATATATAGTTTTACACTAGCTGATTAAATTATTGCAATCATGAATTCCATATTTCAGGAGATATAAGAAAACTGGAACACTGTTACAGAACTTTATGAATTTTCCGTAACCCTAACATTACGCCTGATAAAAACAATCAAACATATACAAACCGTGGCGAAGATTATTCGTTATCATAAGACTGTCTTTTGTTAAAATAAGACACTTCATGTAAATATTCCATAACATATAAATCATACTTAAACTAATTTCCTACTTTCGTTTTTAATCTGCAATCATATCATGGCGACTAGCTTCTGTCGGAGTTGTTCTTTCAACTGTTATAAAAGTACGGAAAGCCATTTAAGCAAATCCTAACGTGACATTTTTCTTGTACATGTATTTTGCGTGTGGAATTTATTTATAAGTCCAAGGGGCATAACTCTGTCAAAAATTGCTCGATCGTACCCAAAATAGAACCTGACCAAGATATTTCTATGATAATTTAAATCTATAAACCAAATTTCATTTCAGTATGTGCAACCTCTGTGAAGAAAATGAACGGAAACTACAAAATTGGAAATTTTCAAAGTCCAAGGGGCATAACTCTGTCAAAAATTGCTCGATCGTACCCAAAACAAAACCTGACCTATAAATATTTCTATGATAAATCTGTATGCCAAATTTCATTTCAGTATGTGCAACCTCTGTGAGGAAAATGGACGGGAACTACAACATTGGAAATTTTCAAAGTCCAAGGGGCATAACTCTGTCAAAAATTGCTCGATCGTACCCAAAACAGAACTTGACCTAGATATTTCTATGATAAATATGCATACCAAATTTCATTTTATTATGTGCAACCTCTGCAAAGAAAATGAACGGAAACTGCAAATAATTGGAATTTTTCTAAGTCCAAAGGAGAATACCTCTGTCAAAAATTGCTCGATCGTACCCAAAACAAAACTTGACCTAGATATTCTTATGATAAATCTGTATACCAAACATCTTAGTATGTGCAACCTCTGCGAAGAAAATGAACGGAAACTGTTGGTGGACCGACAGTCCGACCGACCGACAGACAGCAGCAAAGCAATATGTCCTTCCTTCTTGGAAGGGGGCATAAAAATGACGATATTTTCTTTTCTTTACAGGGGTAGGGTAGATGGGTTCTATGGTAAAAAAAATAAAATTAAATGGCGTTATAGCGTTATACCGCGAAAAAAGGCGTAATAACGGAAATAAAGGCGTTATAACGCGAAAAAAGGCGTTATAACGCCTTTCCAAAAGGCGTTATTACGCCTTTCTAAAAGGCGTTATTACGCCTTTCCAAAAGGCGTTATTACGCCTTTTAAAAAAGGCGTTATTACACCTTTCTTAAAGGCGTTATTACGCCTTTCCAAAAGGCGTTATTACGACTTTTAAAAAAGGCGTTATTACACCTTTCTTAAAGGCGTTATTACGCCTTTCCAAAAGGCGTTATTACGCCTTTTAAAAAAGGCGTTATTACACCTTTCTTAAAGGCGTTATTACGCCTTTCTTAAAGGCGTTATTACGCCTTTCCAAAAGGCGTTATTACGCCTTTTAAAAAAGGCTTTATTACACCTTTCTTAAAGGCGTTATTACGCCTTTCTTAAAGGCGTTATTACGCCTTTTAAAAAGGCGTTATTACGCCTTTCCAAAAGGCGTTATTACGCCTTTCCAAAAGGCGTTATTACGCCTTTTAAAAAGGCGTTATTACCCCTTTCCAAAAGGCGTTATTACGCCTCTTATTTTTCAATACATGACTTACTTAGCACACCCTGGGGACTGATTATAATTAGATTTCCAGGAAAAAAGATTTTTAAATGTATAAAATATTTTCAGTGTTAAACCAACTTAGTCCTCTGATGCCAGACACCTCTACCAAGGTGCATAGATTTCAGAAATTTGGTTGAAGGCTAATTGCTCATTATACCTATGCAAATAGTTTGCCTGCTCTTTTTCCAAGAGAAGAGAAAAAAATTTCAAATTTGACATGAATTTTTAAAACATGGCTAGCAAAGCCCAAAGCTGGCTCTGCCTATATCCTGGATTTTCAAAAGTAGAGTGTTGACTTCTCTTAATACGCATGCAAACAGCTGTCTGCGAGATGTGCAGGAATATAGAAAATACTATCATTTATAATTTATAATATTAAAACTATAATCTAAAAATTGCATAAATAAAGATGGCTTTGGTTCAATCTTTTATATATATTTATTATTTTAAAATAACGCCTTTCCATTTTTGGATATAACTTTAGAAACAGGCCGGTAGTACGAATGCGAGTGGGAGGGGGGGGGGCTCCCCCTCCCCACTTTTTAGGAGAATAGTCTTGCTATAGTTTAAATATAAAAAATCATTTATTGATTGCTTGGTTCCTTAACATTTTGTTGCAGTACGGTTAAACTATTGAAAATGCGGTTTTCAAAAGGCGTTATAACGCGAAAAAAAGGCGTAATAACGCCTTTTGGAAAGGCGTAATAACGCCTTTTGGAAAGGCGTAATTACGCCTTTATTTGCGTTATCACGCCTTTTTCCGCGTTATAACGCCTTTTCAAAAAGCGTTATTACGCCTTTTTCGCGTTATAACGCCTTTTGAAAAGGCGTTACAACGCCTTTTAAATTTTTTTCACCGTACTTTGATCCTAATAGGCTTTCGTAATGGGTGGGGTGGGGTATGTCTGCAAAACACTGACCCTCCATTAGGCCTAGATTAAAACGATGAAGAGGAGAGGGTGAAACATTATGGCTGTGAAATGTTAACCCTACCTTTTTCTGTTAAAAATGTCGACCCCCTACAGCTTTATTTATTTTATCTATTTTATCTGTATTTATTAACTTTTTTGGTGGATATAGCCGGGGAGGGGGAGGAGGGTTATTATGGCTGCGAAATATTAAAACCCCGTTAGACTTCACTAGTTAAGAAGAGAGGGTTCAAAATTTTTATCATGAAATGTTCAACCCACCCCTGCGACTGTAATTTGATAAAAAAAAAAAAAGGGGGGGGGAGTTCAACATAAGACCGCGGAACATTAACTGGCAAAATTGGAAATATGCAGCTTACGTCATTTCCATCTGTTACAGTAAAAACATTTAATGATAGACAATGAATTCGACACGGACGTCCGAGAAAACATTGGATTGAAATTCTAGTTTGAAGTTCATTTTCAATCCACCTGAGCTGTTTTCAAACCTAAAGTGTGAATGTATGATCCAAAAGACAAATAATTTCAATTCCCAAATACATGTTGTTTGAAATTCATATTTATGTCAGTTTTTTAGCCTATAATTTTAAGGACAAGTAAAAGTATAGAAAGCAGTGATTATTTTTCCAGGGGACGGCCATTTGATTCTAGAAAGGGGTGGGGTGGGGGGTCACAAATTGTGAAGTCAGGTCATGCCTTCACATGACAGAATATACATGTATTCTAGGATGACAAGAGTTTTTTTTTTAGTTTTGTCTTCACAGAAAAATGTTTCACAAACAAAAACATGGAGGGACTGTTCAAACTAAAAGAAAACTAACTTTCTTATTTATTTCCAAGATCGTTCAGCCCCCCCCCCCCCCCCAGCACACACATACACATACCAAACAGAAATCAAATATTTGTCCCTTTATATTTCTCTAAAAACACTGGACAGAAAATTCTGATTTATATAAATTTCAAACTATCTCCGAAATTTAAATTATTTATCTTCTGGATCAATCAGTAACACTGTGCGTTCAAGAGTAGCTGAGGTGGATTGAAAATGAATTTCAATCCAATGTTTTCTCGGACGTCCGTGTCGAATTGTATCCGCCCATTTCATTGTCTATCATTAAATGTTTTGACTGTAACAGATGGAAATGACGTAAGTTGCATATTTCCAATTTTGCCAGTTAATGTTCCGCGGTCTTATCATGGATGCGAAATAGTGTCCCCCCATAAGCCATCACTATTAAAGAAGAGGGGTTCAAGGCATTATGACTGTGAAATATTGATCCACCATTAGACACTCCACTTTAATTTTCTATTTATTTGTGTGTGTGTGTGGGGGGGGGGGGGGGTAATACAAAAGCCCAATGAGCTCATTTTCGTACTTAGTCTTTTTTCGCTATATAACTCGTAACTTTTGCGATATATATAATGCGTAACTTTCGCGTTCTAACGTGAAACTTTCGCGAATAAACACGTAACTTACGCGTTATAGGGCAGCAGCCTACGATAGAGGTAGTGTATTGGGGTCTTACGTGCCAGCGGGCACGAAGAGGATAGGTAAGGTGAGGTTACTTGTTATAACGCTAAACCTTTGCGAATAAACGTGTAACTTTCGCGTTATAACACGAAACTTTCGCGTAAAACACTTTACTTGAGCGTTATAAAGCGAAACTTTCGTGAATAAACGCAAAACTTTACTATAACACCGAGATATTTGCATAAGTCCCTATTTTCTCTTGATTAAATTATCTAGTTTATTAATTACAATGAACAAGAAAAAAGAAAGATCTCTGAGGTATTTTTTTACTCTCAGCCTTCCCCCCTGTGGAGGAATATATTTGGAGAGTTCCTCGTCTGTAATTAATGCTTTTTAAAAGATCTGGTCCAATCTAAAAGAAAAAAATAAGGAATGAGTTTAGCGTTTATTCGCGTTATAATGCAAAAGTTATGCGTTTATTCGCGACATTTACGCGTTATACAGCAAAAAATAATAACCCCTATTTGATATCAAATGTTAAAATCCCCCTTTTTGGGGGAGGGGTTGTTGAGATATTATGGCTATGAAACATTGAACACTAATTAGACTTCAATAATTAAGAGGAAAGGGTTTAAATATATAATGGCTATGAAATCCCCTATATTTTTTTTTTGGTTAGGGGAAGGGGTTCAAGATATTATGGCCACTTTATACATCAATATTTAAGAGGGATTCAAGATATTATGGCTGAAAAATATTGAACTCCCATTAGACACGATTAGTCAATAATTTTATGGCAGCGAAATACCCCCCCCCCCCCCCTTCCCAATTAAATTTCAATATGCAAGAGGACAAATTCAAAATATTATTCCTATGAAATAATTTATTTCTATAATAAATAAATTATTCCTATAATAAGCCTCTATTGCATAAAGATTTCATTGTAGAGCCCTATTTAACAGATAAATAACAAAGAAAAAAATATTATTTTCAATGATTTTTTCCCCCCAACTTTTAAACTTTTGTATTATGTTGTTGAAACAAAAGATGATTTAACGTTACTTCTTATGAGTGCCACACAATAATGGGGGTTATTTTATCATTTCTGCCAGCACACAGTGAATGCAGTTTCTCCATTTCTAATCAGGAATCTTTATTTTCAGATACAAGAACAAAAAGTCCATCCTTTGTTTATAGCACTACCTGCCAGATTAATTGTGTTTAACTTTATTATTTTAAAAAAGCAGTACTTGATGTCTCTCATAATTTACTTTATACTTGATTTAAGCATAAATATACCAAACAAGTTTTAAACATTTAATATTTTTGCAAGATCATAAAAAATGTTATTACATTTTTCAATTACAATATAAGGATTTTTTTCAGAGAGTGCCATAATACACATACATCAAATATTAGTAACCAGCAGAAGATGCCTAATCAATCAAATAGCATTACACAACATACCCTACTGACAAATATTCCATTCCATAAGACAAATTTGGCACACTATCGACTAATCAACTCTATCAACATCGTCACATTTTACATACTGATGATGAATTAAATGAGGTTATATATCTGTATACAAAAAGAAAGATCAATGAGTTGATAAGAACATACAAAACAAATTAATCAACCTAAAAAATGTAAAAATTAAAATCATATTTAATATGATTTCAACTTTAACAATGATATAAAATATTTCATATCTATATATACATATATATTTTTCACAAATTATAAATAAAATTTTTAAAATTTCTGACAACATCAAAGCATTTGATATACTTGGTATGTTTCAACTTTTCAAATGTGCCTAATATACAAATATTATATTTAACAGATAAAATCTTAACTTCAAATAAAGCCAAATGTACATAAGAACTATTGCGAGAGTAATAACCATTACATTTACAGTATACTAAATACTTTTTTTTCTGACAAATGAATCAAAATAAAAAAATAAAACCTCTTAATTTATCTGACCTTGACAATTTATTAATAATCTCTGGTATACATGTATGGCAATTTGATTTACAACTGTACTACTTAATCAAGTCTTTTTTTAAATTCTACCTTAGAACTTTGGATCTCTATAATAAATCAGATCCTATCTAGAAGCAAGATGTACATGTTTCTTTCCAATATAACAAACAAATTCTACATCATTGACATCACATATTTGCACCAAACGTACAAAACTTGTGAAAAACTATTAAAATGACTAAAGAAATATTTTTCATACATTATCTCTTTCAAAATATGGACACACAAGCACTCAAAGAAGGTTACTGAATATTCAGCAGATACACTATATTTCCAGTTGCCATTTAATTTTGAACAATCAAAAGAAACTAGACTCTGAGATGTTGACTAGGGCAGGAAATTGCAGTATGATTTGAAGACACGACCTGTTTTTTCTTCTTTGGCCTCTACCTCCAATTCTGTCCCACCCACTCCTATCCTGACCAAGATATTTTCCCTGGAATTCTTGCCTGACAGGTCTAAAACAAAAGATCCAACACATGTGCAGCCAGGCTCATCAACAAACCTTGGATTTTTCTGCGTTGAAGCATAAAAATCTAACAGAGCCAATTCCTGGCCTTCCACTGCAAAATAATCCTTGGGTTCCTGAAACTCCCCAACTTTAACAACCTGTCCCACTTCTACATGTTTGTCAAAAACATCGTCACACCAGTGAAGTCCTTTTCTAGTTGTTTGTGGCAGTTTCTTGCTTTCTGGATCTCCCTCCTGCCATATTCCTTGTTTGGCAATTCCGTAGGTATACCTACATACCCTGGAGGCTATGATCTCTGGCTCAAAGCCATATATCACTGCTCCTTTTAACACAGCTAGGCTTGGGTCGGTGGGTATCACCACTTTTTTGTGAGCAAACACAGTCTTTAGAGTTTCTGTCATTAATGGAGACTCTGCATATCCACCAACTGCCAACAAGGTGTTGACATCAGACATTCCTGGTGTATCGAGGATTTCTTTGATAATTCTGACCACATTGTCAACAGAGTTTTTAAAGAAGGTATGGAAGAGTTTTTTGGAAATTGTCATCTTGTCACGTTTTATGTGCACATCATCTGCAAATGTTGTGTTTTCCAATGATTCCTCAATTTCACATTCAGTATCTTCCCTGTAGGCAGTTAACAATGTAACTGGAAGTCGAAGTGTGATTTTCTCTTTGTTCATTTTAGGACTAAAAGTACATTTTTTCATCTCAATATCATTCATTAGATCGAGGTAGTCACCAGGATTTTCTTCTTTGAGCCTCATAATAACAGGTCCACCGAAGAGTCGTATGAAGAATTTCATGATTTCTTCATTTACACAGGTTCCCCCATAGTACCCCCCACTAGCCTGGTGTAGCTCTTTGAGTCCCCCATCAGAGGTCACTTCATGGGCAGTTATATCAATGGTACCTCCTGTAAGGGATAGAAAAAAAATGTACAAATGTAAGGGATAGAAAAATATGTACAAATGTAGGGGATAGAAAAAAATGCAAAAGTATGGTTTTCTGTTTCTTCATTTAAATACATGAACAGATGATACATATTATTATCAAGGTTTAACAGTCTAAAAATCGAAGTTGAACATTGACATTTTGAATTCAGTAACTTTTTTTTTCAAAATTAGTAATTAAACAAATTCACAGTCACAGCACACACACTTATAATGAATTTATGCTTCCAGAAAAGTGATTTCCATTTATTAGTTTAAAAATATACTGTGAATGTATCGGATACATAATGCATAATTAATACATAATTCTTTGTTCCTTGCACTTCTGTGAAACTTTACTGTTTAAGAAAAGGTTCATATTTGATGCCTTTTACAAAGACTTGTTTCACACTAACAGAGATGTAATACAGCCCAATAAATCTTCACTAAAATATTTCATTCTGACAAACCTCCCAGATCCAGCACCAGATATTTGGAGCCTGTGGGCAGTGAAGCTATCTGCTTTGCTCCATCTCTCTGTGTGCTTATTTCTACCGGGACTTTGCGACAGTACATAGATGCTGCTTCTGGTTCAAGTGCCAAGGACAGCTGAGAGTCTTTGAGTCCAGCCTAAACATAAACTTCAAAGCTTACACAAACATTTCAAAATATCAACTATCAGTACTCACATCATGATGCAATAAAGCTACTGTATCATAAACAAAGGCATAGTAAAGAGAATGTTTTACACCTAGTACACCAGTCTTGTGCAGAAGAAGGCATACATGTACAAGTAAGATTCAATTTCTTGCCTTTTACATCAGTATTCAGTCTTTATTAAAAAGAAACTAATACAGTAAAACACGCTTATAACAAAGTGCCAGGGAGGGAAATTTTGCTTTGTTATAAAAGTAATGCATTATATCAGTTTAAGTTTACAACATAATTTAAAGGCATGAGGAATGAAAAACACCTCGCTGTAAGCATCAATTCATTATAAGCATGTTCGCTATAAGAATGTTTTACCGTTCATTTAATGATTACCTTGTCAGCTGTAAATTTTACTTGTCAATTTTTCTTGGTCATATTGTGAATTATTTAATGTACCTTTTCAGCAGCTTTCCTCATGAACTGCTTAGCTCTAAGGTCCCATATGGCAGGCACGGTTACAACCCAGTACACATCATCATATGAGAAGTCTTCTGTAGACTTTGTATCAAGTCGTTTCTGTAAGCTCTCCCGGAAAAACCGCATCACTGCAGCAAAGACGTCAACAGCAGGCAGTTCCTTGTCCGTGATATCTTTGAGTTTTGTAGACTCAGAGAGTTCCTAACCAGAGAAAGAATGTCATCAAATATCTACTTTTGTTTTGAGACTGTATTCTACACAGAAAATAATAGTAAAAAAAGTAAAATCTGTGTCTATATCATTATATCCCTCACTATTGATAAAAGGCTCAAGAATATATCAAAAGGTGACTTTTAAAAATAAAACTTTACTCAGAGAGTACCCAGAGTCCATACTTTACATACAGCAAACTACAGTACAGTATACATGTGATAATGACAGATGCAGGCCTTTCAAAATCTGCCAGTTCCCAGTAATTTTACCTGGCTGAAATCATGATTGTACTGGCTAAAGTATTTGTTGGAGAAAAATTGGATAACATTTAATTAAAATCGCTTCTACAAGGTACCTCCCATATTTATAACAGTAAGAACTGCCTGTTTCTTATCTTTTTGAAAGCCCTGTCGATGGATGCTGATAAATAAATGAACTGTTTCTAAGAGATAAATACATTGATACTTACAGCATTATTAAATAGCTTCATTTTGAACTGCCTGAATAGATAGTGTTTCTTTTGTTCTGAAGGATCCATGTCCACAAAATCTCTCTCTGCTTCATAACCAAAGCTGACATAGTCTCTGCCGTTAGGTTTGATCAGTACTGTTGTAGGAGCCTTGTTAGTGATGGCTGTCCCACTGTTCCAAGTATGTACAAAAATCTTGTTGCGATCTTTTTTGTAATCTGATCTAGTGCACAAGGCAAATCCTGATCCATAAGTACCAAAGTCAATGGCAGCTACTACCAAACGATCATGTTTAATGGTCTGAAAATATGAGATTTGAATTAATTGATAGATTTTTTATTTACAAAAGGTAGAACAGAAACTATAGATTTTAAATTTTATATAACCTTGGTATATAAAGAGACCATTTTGGCTTTATATAGAGTTTAAATGCAAAAATGTCTCTTTACTTTTTCATTAAATTTACTTAATTTCTCTTAGTGCAAGTTAATTTGACTGTTGGCCATTGACCTTTAAATTAATATCTGTAATAAAACAATTTAAGTCATATTTGTAGGAAACTTACTGCTATTTAACTCAAAGTTTTAATAGACTTATAAGTACAGTTTGGAAGCTTTATTTTTTATGCATCTTCATGTGTTTGTATTTTTAGTAACTCTACTTAAGACCATTTTTACTACACATCCTTTCACATAAAATATACCAGGTAGTAGCAGATCCAGCAGTCAAGAGGATCCTGACCTCTACCCCACCCCTGGCATTTTCAGACTTGTATAATTTATATCATGAAGTGATAAAAAAAAATATGGCCTTAACCCCCTCCCCCCCTGTAAGTTGGTAAGTCTTATACTGTATTAATTTATATATGACTGGATAAAGGGAAACAACTGTCCATAAGATGTGTTCAACTCCCTAACCTCCCAACCCCCCATTCCCCATCCTTTTCCCCAAGAAATAAGAATTTTGCAACTGAAGAGTTGTTTTTCTTTGAATTTTTGTCAAAAAATTTCGAATTCTCCCCCTTTCTCAACTTTTAAGGAATCAAGGTAAAATTGATTAAGTAAATATATAGTAGAATTTCTTACCAGTTCAACAACTTCTGCACCTTCATTTTTCCATACCTGTAAAGTATTTATATGTAGAATATGGACATTAACCAAGTCAATGGAGAGAGTATTGTATTTATTTAGGTTTTTTTAGTAATAACATTCCTTCTTTGAAAAAAAAAACTATCCATAAATTTGAATTCAATTAATATCTTAACAATTTAAATCAGACATTTACCTGTATGATAAAATACACGTACTGTAAATCAACTATTATACACAAAAAACTTTTATTTATAGTTAGACAGTCTGAAACCCATCCATAACCATCAATTTTTATGTACAAGGAATTTTATATACCGGTACATATAAACAAAAATACACAATTAACAGTTCAAGGAAATGGCAAAACATAATAAGGTTGCAATTATTTCTTGAACGTGACCATAGCTGGTTTATAAAAGGCCTTTATAATTTTGTAGGACTGGATTGAAATACTCCAATATATATCTACATAAATTCTGAACATGATAATTAGATTTTTTAAAGCAATTAACAGACTGAATGACACACACACACTATCAAGCACACTTGTGATTCATTTTGAAGTGGAAAAAAAATAATTTAATGTATCACTATTCTCCACAATCTTTTACTTCAGAAAAATTATATTTATTGCATCTATTTTTTTTTAAATGGAATTTTTAGTGTCCTATTTACACATCTTTGACATAAAAGTGAAAGAGTGTATACAGAAAACAACAGTGGAATGTAAAAATATTATTTATTGAGACAGAAGTACTTACAGCACTGGGAGATATGACATGGGTTGTCTGTTGTGGCATAGTAGATCTACCCTGGAAGAAAACAAAAGTTAACATGAAAAGAAATGTACAATATATATGATGAACACTGGAGTGATATTAATCTTTATATCAAAATAATTTAATTTTGGTTGTAAAGCGTCATTTGATTGGATAAAAAAATTAGAGTATAACGTATAACCTGGGTTGCCTACGTCACAATGATTTACGTCAAAAACGTGTCAATCCGCTTGACGTTACATTTAAAATACATACAATTTAAAGGCATTTCTGAAGGAGAAATTGTTTTATTTTTTACACTTAATGATGGGAAATTAAATTATAAGGAATGACTTTAAAAGCTACCCAAGTTATACTGGTATAACCTGGGTTGGAACAGTTTACGCTTTTTTATAAACTGCTTCGTGGTTTATAAAGCGTAAACTGCCCCAACCCAGGTTATACCTGTATAACTTGGGTAGCTATTAAAGTCATTCCTTAAATAATATTGTACATCTTTATATCAAAATAATATTGTACACATGTGACTGTGTGGTCATTATTAAGAAAATTAGAGCATTTGTCTACAAACTTTATGCACAACCCTTGTATCTGCTTCTTACAATAAGACATTCACAATCATCAACATCAGCAAAGTAGAAACAAGTTTTTAGTATTGATATTTTTATAAGATATGTATTAAGGATTGATTTTTCCAATATATTTCCATGTAAAACTTTGATCCATTATTAAAGCACCTTGTGTCCTAAACCCTGATATATAAAAACTTTTTTTATTAAAAAACATTCATAAGGAAATACAACTTTTGAGCTCCTGGGTAGCTCCAGAGCAGAGATCAAAACTACATCTACATGACATTGTCATTGTATGCAAAAACATTTTTTTTTGCTACCATATGGAAGGAATTCCAATGAGAAGCTTAATTTTTTTTTTACCACATCTTTTTAGGCATCTTTTTTTTTTACCATTGGGCCCCAACACGTACATGTAATTTCAAAACCTTATAGCACCTCCACAGGCCAATCATATACAGTGTAATATAGTTTTTGCTTTACCTACAAAAAGGTAAGAGGAATAAGTGTGACAGACAGGTGGGTATCTTAACTTTATTAAGAAAGTTAGGATTATAATACTATACCTTTGCAGCTGATGATTTTGTGACGTCACTGTTGCTGTGACGTTTGGTTCTGCGCCCTGTTACACCTGGTATGCTCTCCTCCGTACTTTCACTGACTGGCAATCTCTTACGACTTGGGATGGACTCCCCCGTAGCACCTTTTGTCTTCTCATCCGATGATGATTTTTTTGAGGGTCCATCTTCCTCCTACACATGAAAACAAGGGTAAAATGTTTGAAAAAAAATTAATAACTGAATCCCATGAAACTTAATAATTAAGGTCCCCTATACACTGTATGCTAAAGAGTTCAAATTCAGTGGTATGATACCAAATTGAAATGAACAGTGTATCAATTAATCAATTTGCAATCAATTCAAGCTTTCTTATCATTTTATTAGGGAAAAATTAATTGAACACCTTATTCGCATCTATTAGTCCTGTTTGAACAACATGATTTTTTTTCCCCTTTTCATCAATATTTTGTTCCCTTTCAACATTTTTTTTCTAGGGATAAATGGCTGGTGCCCTTTGTTGGAGATAAAATAAACCTATTTTTTTATTTTTCTCAATGTCCATAAAAACCCTATTTAACCCTAAGCCAGGTAAGCCCCCAGTAGCCCTGACTTGAAACTACATTTTATACGAAAAAAGTTGCAGGGGGGGGGGGGGGGGCTACATTATGCAGATGGGAGGGGGTCTACATACAAAGTATTATACAGGGGAGGTTTCTCTGAGTTTTGTCTTCTCTGGTTCATTGGAAAATGTCTTATATATGACCCAATTTTTATCATTTATTATCTTCCTTTGGAAGTGTCATTACTTTATTTGAACAAGAGGCCCATGGGCCACATTGCTCACCTGAGTAACTTTGGCCATACTGTTCATTACCAGACTTCCCCCCTTGTAATACCTATTGTGGCCCCGCCCTACCCCCAGGGGCCATGATTTGAACAATTTAGAATCTACACTACCCCAGGATGCTTCCACATAAGTTTCAGTTTTTCTGGTTCAGTGGTTCTTGAGAAGATTTTTAAAGATTTTTCCTATATATTTCAATGTAAAACTTGGATTCCCTATTGTGCCCCCCCCCCCCATCCCCGGGGTCATGATTTGAACAATTTAGAGTGTACACTACTTGAGGATGCTTCCACATAAGTTTCAGCTATTCTGGCTCAGTGGTTCTTGAAAAGAAGATTTTTAAAGATTTTTCCTATATATTTCAATGTAAAACTTGGATTCCCTATTGTGGCCCCGCCCTACCCCCGGGGGTCATGATTTTAACAATTTAGAATCTACACTACCCCAGGATGCTTCCACATAAGTTTCAGCTTTTCTGGCTCAGTGGTTCTTGAGAAGAAGATTTTTAAAGATTTTTCCTATATATTTCAATGTAAAACTTGGATTCCCTATTGTGGCCTCGCCCTACCCCCGGGGGTCATGATTTGAACAATTTAGAATCTACACTACACCAGGATGCTTCCACATAAGTTTCAGCTTTTCTGGCTCAGTGGTTCTTGAGAAGAAGATTTTTAAAGATTTTTCCTATATATTTCAATGTAAAACTTGTATTCCCCACTGTGGCCCCGCCCTACCCCCAGGGGTCATGATTTGAACAATTTAGAATCTACATTACCCCAGGATGCTTCCACATAAGTTTCAGCTTTTCTGGCTCAGTGGTTCTTGAGAAGAAGATTTTTAAAGATTTTTCCTATATATTTCAATGTAAAACTTGTATTTCCTATTGTGGCCCCGCCCTACCCCCGGGGGTCATGATTTGAACAATTTAGAATCTACACTACACCAGGATGCTTCCACATAAGTTTCAGCTTTTCTGGCTCAGTGGTTCTTGAGAAGAAGATTTTTAAAGATTTTTCCTATATATTTCAATGTAAAACTTGTATTCCCTACTGTGGCCCCGCCCTACCCCCAGGGGCCATGATTTGAACAATTTAGAATCTACATTACCCCAGGATGCTTCCACATAAGTTTCAGCTTTTCTGGTTCAGTGGTTCTTGAGAAGATTTTTAAAGATTTTTCCTATATATTTCAATGTAAAACTTGGATTCCCTATTGTGCCCCCCACCCCCATCCCCGGAGTCATGATTTGAACAATTTAGAGTGTACACTACTTGAGGATGCTTCCACATAAGTTTCAGCTATTCTGGCTCAGTGGTTCTTGAAAAGAAGATTTTTAAAGATTTTTCCTATATATTTCAATGTAAAACTTGGATTCCCTATTGTGGCCCCGCCCTACCCCCGGGGGTCATGATTTGAACAATTTAGAATCTACACTACACCAGGATGCTTCCACATAAGTTTCAGCTTTTCTGGCTCAGTGGTTCTTGAAAAGAAGATTTTTAAAGATTTTTCCTATATATTTCAATGTAAAACTTGGATTCCCTATTGTGGCCTTGCCCTACCCCCGGGGGTCATGATTTGAACAATTTAGAATCTACACTACACCAGGATGCTTCCACATAAGTTTCAGCTTTTCTGGCTCAGTGGTTCTTGAGAAGAAGATTTTTAAAGATTTTTCCTATATATTTCAATGTAAAACTTGTATTCCCCACTGTGGCCCCGCCCAACCCCCGGGGGTCATGATTTTAACAATTTAGAATCTACACTACCCCAGGATGCTTCCACATAAGTTTCAGCTTTTCTGGCTCAGTGGTTCTTGAGAAGAAGATTTTTAAAGATTTTTCCTATATATTTCAATGTAAAACTTGTATTTCCTATTGTGGCCCCGCCCTACCCCCGGGGGTCATGATTTGAACAATTTAGAATCTACACTACACCAGGATGCTTCCACATAAGTTTCAGCTTTTCTGGCTCAGTGGTTCTTGAGAAGAAGATTTTTAAAGATTTTTCCTATATATTTCAATGTAAAACTTGTATTCCCTATTGTGGCCCCGGCCTACCCCCGGGGGTCATGATTTGAACAATTTAGAATCTACTCTATCCCAGGATGCTTTCGTATAAGTTTCAGCTTTTCTGGCCCAGTGGTTCTTGAGAAGAAGATTTTTTTTTTATGACCCCACCCTATTTTTGTCTTTTCTTGATTATCTCCCCTTGTAAGGGGACTTGGCCCTTTATTCTAACAATTTAAACTCCCCTTCCCCCAAGGATACTTTGTACCAAGTTTGGTTAAAATTGGCCCAGTGGTTCTTGAGAAGAAGTTGAAAATGTGAAAAGTTTACAGACGGACGGACAGACGGACGGACGGACAGACGGACAGACGGACGGACGACGGACAACGGGTGATCAGAAAAGCTCACTTGAGCTTTCAGCTCAGGTGAGCTAAAAATGATTCGCTCTCCTTTACTCAAAGATGCTTTGTATCAAATTAGGTTGATGCATTGAAATTAGCCCAATGGTTCTGGAGAATTGGATGAAAATGTAAAAACTAAACAATAGATATCAAAATCAAAGTAAGCAGTGTTTGAAATAATTGTGCACCCGACCGCCCGAGACACACAAATTTTGCCATGGGCAAACAGATTTGCATGCATCGACGCCCGGCTGGACATGTTAAAATTTCCCTCAAATTAAAAATTCATATATTTGATAAATCTTTCTCATATCAATTTATGGTATCGGTAGCAAAGTGAAATAGGTAAAGGGATAGAATTCATTAGCCTGTAGATTCAGAATCAAAGTTATGGTGATCTGGCACCATTCACATTATCGCTAAAAACAAAACATAGGTAATCAGAGATTACAGAGCTCACCTCAATGAATGTTGTCTTTAAGTAAAGCAAAGTCCCACACTAAACTAATAATCTAGGAGTGTGCATCTCTAGATGCAACATTTATGCAATTTTGGTCTGATAGGGCTTGCAGTTACTTGGGAATAGACTAATCTGAAAACTTAAAACTAGTCACTCATCCAGAAAATGTAAGTCAAATCCAGCATCCGAAGCAAGTTGGAGATTGTTCATCCCTTGATGAATCATCCATGCAAGTTTGGTTCAGATAGGCCTTATAGTTACTTGGAAATGAGATCTGCTCCAAAAACTTTAACCTGGTTACTCATCCAGAAAATGTAGGTCAGATCCAGCATCCGAAGCAAGTCCAGTAGTGTGCATCCTTAGATGTATCATTCATGCAAGTATGGTCAATATAGGGCTTATAGTTACTTGGAAATGAGATCTGCTCCAGAAACTTTAACCTGGTTACTCATCCGGTAAATGTAGGTCAAATCCAGCATCCAAAGCGAGTCCAGTAGTGAACATCCTTAGATGAATCATCCATGCAAGTTTGGTCAATATAGGGTTTATAGATACTTGGAAATGACATCTGCTCCAAAAACTTTAACCTGGTCACTCATCCAGAAAATATAGGTCAGATTCAGTATCCGAAGCAAGTCCAGTAGTGTGCATCCTTAGATGTATCATTCATGCAAGTATGGTCAATATAGGGCTTACAGTTACTTGGAAATGAGATCTGCTCCAAAAACTTTAACCTGGTTACTCATCCAGAAAATCTAGGTCAGATCCAGCATCCGAAGCGAGTCCAGTAGTGAACATCCTTACATGTATCATCCATGCAAGTTTGGTCAATATAAGGTTTATAGATACTTGGAAATGACATCTGCTCCAAAAACTTTAACCTGGTCACTCATCCGGAAAATATAGGTCAGATTCAGTATCCGAAGCAAGTCCAGTAGTGTGCATCCTTAGATGTATCATTCATGCAAGTATGGTCAATATAGGGCTTACAGTTACTTGGAAATGAGATCTGCTCCAAAAACTTTAACCTGGTTACTCATCCAGAAAATCTAGGTCAGATCCAGCATCCGAAGCGAGTCCAGTAGTGAACATCCTTACATGTATCATCCATGCAAGTTTGGTCAATATAAGGTTTATAGATACTTGGAAATGACATCTGCTCCAAAAACTTTAACCTGGTCACTCATCCGGAAAATATAGGTCAGATTCAGCATCAGAAGCAAGTCTAGTAGTGTGCATCCTTAGATGTATCATTCATGCAAGTATGGTCAATATAGGGTTTATAGTTACTTGGAAATGAGATCTGCTCCAAAAACATTAACCTGGTCACTCATCCAGAAAATATAGGTCAAATCCAGCATCAGAAGCAAGTCTAGTAGTGTGCATCCTTAGATGTATCATTCATGCAAGTATGGTCAATATAGGGCTTATAGTTACTTGGAAATGAGATCTGCTCCAAAAACATTAACCTGGTCACTCATCCAGAAAATATAGGTCAAATCCAGCATCCGAAGTGAGTCCAGTAGTGTGCATCCTTAGATGTATCATCCATGCAACTTTGGTTAATATAGGGCTTATAGTTACTTGGAAATGAGATCTACTCCAAAAACTTTAACCTAGTCACTCATCCAGAAAATGTAGGTCAGATCCAGCATACGAAGCAAGTTCAGTAGTGTGCATCCTTAGATGTATCATCCATGCAAGTTTGGTCAATATAGGGCTTAAGTTACTTGGAAATGAGACCTGCTCCAAAAACTTTAACCTGCTCCAAAAATATTAACCTTGTCATTCTTTAGCTGAAATTGCAGCATCTGAAACCTTGACTGGTACAATGAAACAAACTAGAAGCATCCTCCATGCATCTCTGACTAATATAGGCCATAGAAGTACTTGAAAAGAAAACTGCTCCAAAAACCTTAACCTGGGAGGCTGACGCTGACACCGAGGGTATTACATAAGCTCCCCCCAACTTCGTTGAGGTGAGCTAAAAATGGGCTACAGGATTTCTGGTAGGGCTGACAACTTTCACTAGCAGTCAGCCCTGCATGTCTAGCTAATTTTACGGTGAGTTTCAAACAATGAAGTAAGAAAGACTAAGGGATGAATGAAAAACTACAAGCAAAGATCAATGGAGCCTTACAATTAGGAGAGCTAAAATGAATATTTTTACATATAGGCATTAATCAATATTCTTACCTTTCCTTGTTTATTTCCCATATTTACAAAACCATAGTTTCCACTTCAAGTTCTGTAAAATACATTAACAAATAAATACTATTATCATAAACATTAAACCTAGTATGATGATTATATCTGTCTGGCATATTCTCATTGAGAAGATTTTTTTCCAATATACTCCAATGTAAAATTTTAATCCCCCACTGTGGCTCCAACCTACTACTGAAGGCCATGATTTGAAAAAAAAAAAAAACTTGAATCTACACTAACACTACCTAAGGATGCTTCCATATCAATATGAATAATCATGGCTCTTTTTAATGATTTTTTCCTATTCCCATGTTAACTTTTGATCCCCCATTGTGGCTCAATCTTACTTCCGGGGGTCATGATTTGAACTAATTTGAGTCTTCACTAAGTAATGAAGGTTTCAAATAAGTTTCAACTTTTGCCCAATTGGTTCTTGAAAAGAAGATCTTTAAAAGATGCCACCATATTTTCATTAATTGTTAATTATCTCCCCTTGAAAGAGGGGAAGAGAGTGTAGTCCTTCATTTGAACAAACTTGATATTCCCTTTATCTAATGATGCTCTGTGGCAGAATTGGTTAAAAATGACAAGTGGGTCTGGAGAAGAAGTTTAAAATGTGAAGAGTTTACAGACGGACAGACAGATGGACAAAATGTGATTAAAAAAGCTCACTTGAGCATTCAGCTCAGGTGAGCTAAAAAAAAACATGGTTACGGCAGCTTTGCATTTAAACATTGTAACAAGAAAAATACCTATATATTTTTGAAACTCCTCTATTTTTTTAAATTTTTTTTTAAAAAATAATTAAGATGTCAAAAGTGATTGGAACTAGCCATGTTCCGAAATTGGGCCAGAGTTAGACTGTTCTTCAATCCCGAGGTTGAAGTTAAAGCTTCACTAAGGAAAATTCTGTCGTTAATGAAGAGCGGTGGGTGTCTTTCTCAATAACAAAAAATTCATTGTAAATGCTTATTCGGCCACTCGTCTTCTTTATATTAATAAGCTTAGAATGACACCTTAGACATATTCTACTTTCGGTTTTACACATAGTGCGAAAACCAGTTAAATTCTCTTAATACCAGAAATTGACATATTTAGAAATCAAAATATTTTTAAACTTTCAAGTACATACAATAAAAAAATTGTTCTCTTATCTTAAGAAAGTGACAAAGTTTCTGGTTCTAGCACATGACAGTAGACTCGAGTCTAGAAAAAGTAGCCCACCTTAGCTGACCCGGAAGAGAGAAGTTGGACTGGGTAAAAATAGGGCACGACTCTATTTCCAATGTGTACATGTTTCCATAGTTTCTAATCTTGGTGGTAAAGGGGGAAATGATTCTTAATTGATAATGTTTTCTTTATTTGTTATCATACTAGCTGACATTATGCACCCCCAAACACTTAAACGAGTCTGTTTTCGGCAATGGGTAATATTAGGAAACAGTATTCGGCATGATTTGATAGTAACACTGCAACTAACAGTAACTGTTTTGGTTGATATTTATACTTTGACTTACGTACTCCAACTAATATGACTTTAGAAAGATTTGTCAATCAACATATACAACTTCTTGAAAAAGAACGAGAGGCGGAGATAGAAGAAACCAGGTTAGATTAATAGAACTTGACTTAGTGAAGTTTCAAGTTAATTATTCTCAGATTCCCCATCCAAACACGAATTTTCTCTTTCCTTTCCTCTCATACCTTCCTAGTACCCTTCCGTTTTTGGCGTAACTCTTCCACTTGTTGTCACTAAATTACGCTGTTAGGCAAATAAAATCAATTTTACGCTTTAGATGACAAACTTACAATTGTGTTATTATTGAGCATTGTACTTCTGAGTATCACCTGAGTGGCACAGTGGTTAAAGCATTGCTCTAGAGTCGCAGATTAAAAAGTTGTTGCTGGCACAAAAAAAGATTCTTACTACTATGGCCCTTAGTGCTGAGTATAGCGCTATAGGTCTAAATGTTCAGCCCTCCAATCCAATGGCATTAAGTGGTGACATCTACATGAGAGAAAAATTCTTGAAGGGACCGTAAACAAAAAAAAAATCAAACAAACATAAACTTCTGACTTTAAGTACGTCCAAACTTATATGCAAAGAGAAGATCTGTAAAAATGTCATTTTTTCAAGGAAGCTATAGTTTTTTAAGAAAGAAGTAAAGAAAAGAATTTAAGATAATTAAGCTGGCTTTCAAACCTAAGCACGCAGTACATACCCAAAATTTGGAAGAGAAAGCAGATGCAAATACATTAGAAACTGAAACAATTATAATCATAAGTGCTATTAATTCTACTAATAAGATAGGATTAGTTATGATATGCAAGTTTTTGACCAAATATGTCCATGTTAAGCTATTATAAGTTAATTAGATATGTTGGGATGCAGATGTTTAACCTCTACAGAACCTAGGATTTATGTACAGAACAAAGGATTACAACAATTAATGGTTTTACAATAATTTTATGTCAATATTATATACAATGTACAACATAAAATTCTGATAAAGATTTAAAGACTTTCGAGTATTTTATTTTGAGGTCTATGGTTTTATCCTTCATTTATAACCCCAGCTGGAAATTTTGTATCCCATCTAAAGTCTTAATATGTATCAAGGTAATTTTCGAGGAATAAATGAGTGGTTTACAATTAAGAGGCTCGACCAGAGATGTCTGAAACTATTTATTTGACAAGGAAAAAGTCTCTTGAAGCGAACAGTGTCATTTTAAAGTAGGCAAATGATTGATATATTAACAAAATATGAGCTTGAAGCAGGGGTGCCTGAAATTGAGTTAGGTACCTTGTGGAGGGAAAAAGAAGGGGGTGACCCCATATAAGAGAAAAGTTGCTTGTGCTTCAAATGCTGAATTTGAATTACATGTACATTTTCTAAGTGAATGACTAGTTTGAAGTTTTTGGATAAGTCCATTCTCAAGTAACTGCAAGCCCTATCAGATCAAAATTGCATAAATGTTTCATCTTTGGATGTACACTTTGTCTACTAGATTATTAGTTTAGTGTGGGACTTTGCCTTACTTAAAGACAACATTTGTTGAGGTGAGCTCTGTAATTTCTGATTACCTATATTTATAACCACATGATAATAAAAATTAGCATCCTTAAAAAGTTTAAATATTCGGCTTCAAGTCAAAAATCAAGTCTAAACACAAAGACATTCAGATTGGATGCAAGTTTATTTGTTAAAGATGTCCGAAGCAAGATATATGTCTCATGCATGGTGAAATCACCCTATAATTTGAGCCATGATTGTTCATATCACATGTAGTGCAGGAACCACAGTTTTGATTTATTTCACCTCACTTCAAGTAGCTATTACTTACAGGCATCTAAATGAAAGTTTACCACCTAAAGAGCTCCAGAGACGAGGAGTGTGCTTGCTGAAGCTCCACATAAGGACGCGTCGTACTGGTTTCTATGGGAGAACAGTTGTCGTATTTGAACCTGGGGGTGGAAATCAAGAGTTACCTGCTCATAACCTTTCACCAGGTAGGATATGCAGAACATTGATTTTGGCTACTCTTAAAAAAGGAGGAAGAGAAACTAGCTATGACAAGAAAATCTGAAATTGTTTCTTTGAAAATCTTCTTTGTTCATCAGTATTTGGTATACAGCAGGAAAACTACTGAAAAATAGACTGCAGATTAAACTGTCAAGTTCATGACCCCTAGTTTGCAAGGTTAGGGACCAAGAGTGACTGAGACATACATTGAAAATGTATTTTATTTTTAAAATTCACTCTTATTCCAGACCTATACATTAAGTTAGGAAACTTGTACCGGTACATAACATAACATAACATAACTTAACATAACTTTACATTTATTTTCTAATTTGGAGCCCATAACAGACAAGTATGAAATTATTACAATAATAAGAAAAAGATATGCCAATGGATAGTATAACAATTTGTAAATGACATTGCTCATTTCAACAATAATATTGTACTATTTCAGTTAAAGGGAATACTATATATAAAAGTGTATGCATGGCTACTACAACATGTTATCATTTATGAATTTGCCCACAGAATTAAGAGTTTCTTTGTGTTCAGTATTGAGTAACCAAAAAAGTTTTTGTTCATCATCTAATTTTGAGAAATTTGGAAATTTACTTTTAATTGACTGAAAAATTTCTTTTCTTTGATAATCATATTTTTTACATGTTATCAAAAAATGAGTTTCATCATCTACACTGTTAGAATTACATCTATTGCATAATCGATCTTCTCGAGGGATGTTGGTAAATCTTCCCACTTCAATTTGCAATCTGTGATAAGAAATTCTTAATTTACATAGAGATTTTCTGTGATGAAAATTTTTAACTACTGATAAATAATTCTCATAACCCCAATTTTGTTTGAGTTTTACATATGTACATGAATATAATGAGCAATGGATTCTCTAACCATTGCGACGTTCATGACACATGGGTTCAGGTTTATGATCTAGGGTGGTTCAAATTTTAAGCAGAGCAGAATAAGGAACATGAAAATCACACCCATGTGGCTATATAAAGTCTTAGAGAGAGTGTTTTGATTTTCATGTGACTATCAAGGCCTATGGGCCTTTTGACGTATAAAATATTCTTAAAATGTGTAAATTATTTTACAAATGAAAAATAAAACAGACCATTTCTTATCAATCCATCAAAGAATCCAATTGCTTCATGTTACATCTTTCGGTGAGCATGTTTCGTAATAGTTCTGGAAAAATAATTTGTACATGTAAGGCCAGTGTCATGAAATCAACAATGCATGTAAATTTCATGACAATAAATTTATATGATAATAGGGAGTAAATCTAAGAATTAACTGTCTAGTTTTTTTATGCCCCGCCATGAATATGGCCGGGGCATATAGTGTTTGTCATGTCCGTCTTCCGTCCTTCCGTCTTCCATCCTTCTGTCCTTCCGTCCTTCCGTCTGTCCTTCCATCACACTTTGCGTTTAGCTCTGTTCAAAGCTCAGTTTCAAAGAAACTATCCAAGATATTTTTATCAAACTTCATATGTTGATATATACTGATGTAAGTTATTCAACTGCATCAACATTTTTTGACCTTGACCTTTCCTTTGACCTTGACCTCACTTTTCTTAAATTAGTGTTTAGCTCAGTTTTAAAGATACCATTCAAGATAGTGTAATCAAACTTCATATGTTGATTAATACGGATGTAAGTTATTCAACTACATCAACATTTTTTGACCTTGACCTTTCTTTTGACCTTGACCTCACTTTTCTTAAATTAATGTTTAGCTCAGTTTTAAAGATACCATTCAAGATAGTGTAATCAAACTTCATATGTTGATACATACTGATGAGAGCTATCCAACTGCATCAATATTTTTTACCTTGACCTTTCCTTTGACCTTGACCTCACTTTTCTTAAATAAGTTTTTAACTCAGTTTTAAAGATACCATTCAAGATAGTGTTATCAAACTTCATATGCTGATACATACTGATGAGAGCTATTCAACTGCATCAACATTTTTTGACCTTGACCTTTCCTTTGACCTTGACCTCACTTTTCTTAAATTAGTGTCAAACTTCATATGCTGATACATACTAATAAGAACTATTCAACTGCATCAATATTTTTGACCTTGACCTTTCCTTTGACCTTGACCTCACTTTTCTTAAATTAGTGATTAGCTCAGTTTAAAGAAACCATTCATAATATTTTTATCAAACTTCATATGCTACTACATAGTGATGTAACCTTTTCAACTGGATCAACAATTTTTGACCTTGACCTTTCCTTTGACCTTGACCTCACTTTTCTTAAATTAGTGTCAAACTTCATATGCTGATACATACTGATGAAAGCTATTCAACTGCATCAATATTTTTTCACCTTGACCTTTCCTTTGACCTTGACCTCACTTTCTCAATTTGTGTTAAAGTGCTTCATTACTAATATACCTTCGGCGGGGCATTCATGTCCTATGGACATATTTCTAGTTTATTTATGATGTGATAAAGCAATTGGCTTGTGTGACAATTTGCATTATAACACCTTTGATGTTTATGCATTAAATTATATCGCAAGCCCATTGCTTGATCATTATCATAAAACAAAACAAAAAATGACAGTTATTCCTTATATTTACATGATTCCAAAAATTCAAGGGTTCAATCCAAGCCCCACCCACTTCTCTATAGTTTTCTATTCTCACTCCTGCCCCACACATGATTTTTTAAAATCAAACCTTTCGATGAACCAATAACTTTA